ATATTTTCAAAGATTTTTAAGCTTTAGCATTTATACAAATAAAAAAATTTTTAAATCCATGTTATGGAACACTTTAATTTTTTTCTTTTTACAAATCACTTTATTGCTACATGACGTTTCAATCACTTACATACTAGTAAGTAGATAATCTTTATTATTTTCTAAAAATTTTTAAATTTAATGAAAAAATGCAAATATTTCATGGCAAATGATCGCCATACAAAGCTTTCATATCACTCTTGTTTAAATTCCTAAATCATGTCATATTCTCTACCCACATACTGGAATTCCATACATTAATAATTAAAAAAATCTAGTTCCTCTGAGAAAAATAAGATAAAAAAATAAAAACTACAAATTTGGAATAATGAGCAATGTTTCAATTAGAAGACATATTATCAAGTGCAATTACGGTTACATATTAAAATAATAAGGCAAAAGTTACTTATCGAGTCCAACTTTTCAGTTTTCCTACTGTTCTTGAAAAGACCATCGAACTATTGCTATTCATCGTAAATCGGAATACATTATCAATATATCAAAAGAAATTAATAAAAATACAATTTAAATAGAAAATATGAGTAAAATGTAATTTAAAACTGAAACAACAATACGAATTTAACATAAAAAAAGATATAGTAAACATCGCACATAAAATATGATACATTACTGTTGCTATCCCATGTACACAACGATCTGTTTTCACTTAAACAAATCAAAGAATTTCACAAACTCAGCATCGCTCACAACCTCGCATGTGCACTGTGATCTATTTTCACTTTAAAAACATCACAGAATGTCACAAACTTGGCATCGCGCACAACTTCGGCTTTTCGCATAGCCTAGACATTGCCAACGTACACAGCGATCTCTTTCCACTTCAAAAAATCAGACGATTCCACAAACACGGCATCGTGGACAATCTCGGGATTGTTTATATTCTCAGCGATCTGTTTTCATTTAATAAATAGCACAAAATTGCAGAAACTCGGCATCGCTCACAAGCAACTCCATTGATTCGAGTTACTAAAAAAGGTTTTTCAGAAAAATGGCACAGCGACGGAAAAATGGCTAATAGAATAAAATAATTAACTAACTTCGAAATTTCCATACTTGGCATGTACTCCATATTTAATTTTAGCCAATTTATTAAACTTACCATGAGTCTTTTTCTTTTGCAGAATATATCGCTGACGTCTCACCCAAAAATATCTCTATCACAATGCTTGTGGGGGATTTCTTTTGCTGCCGTCTCCAGACGTACTCAGCCAGAAACGAATCGAATTATTTTGTTGCCTGCCGAGTACCACGAAGACTTCTTTCAATTGATTCTCAAGTCTCTTCAAAACTGTTAGAATGCACACGTATCCGCGGATCTTTAAAACACAATCTATGATTCACTAGATGAGCCTATGCTTCCGACTTGAGGCAGCTTTAGACTTTCCAGGAATCCGAAATAACAACTGATCCTCGCAGAACATTCTATTTAATAATTTCTAACAATGATCCGGCATCTCTACTTTCAACCATTCTAAACACACATTTATCCGTCTCTCCCTCAAAAAACCCATCTTTCCTAGACAAACAAAACACCCATCTTCCCTAGACTCTTCTCCCTCTATGATATTTTTGCTTACCAGATTTAGTTTCGTCAATTTCAACAATATCTCCCTCCCCAGCCAGCATCACATTCTCCTTCGAGCCCTACAAAGTCCATGCACAGTTTTCCTACTAAAACTCTTCCAATCTTTCATATTACTTTTAATAATATGCAATTCCGATTGCATTAAATCGTTTCCACAGTTATCGAGCCACATATAGTACATAACTCGCAAAACACCACATATGCTCAGTTTACTCTTCGCAAAACACGAATCCTTTTGAACAGACCTTGTAATGCTATGTAATTAGATACTTACATTCGCCTCCCGTAACTCTATATATCCACCCTAAATCATCGACACCGTTTTTCCGCTCTAGCAGTTTCATATTCGTTTCACAAATTGGACATTTAAACGACCTTGCCATCAATATTTTCTCTATAACACCACTCAGTTACACGTTTTTTACCTTTTCGCTCCAAATGATTTTAAAAAAAATTAAATTAAATTCCAGATTCCAAATAATCATCCATGCTGCATGAAGCACAGAGATCAAACACACTCATCAGTGATCAAAACGTTCTTTGAGCAAAAGAATACTTTTCTGTATTTTAAGCAGTTACGGTTATAAGTTTTAAATCATTCATTTAATATTTTCAGTCGCTTCGTTAATCTTAATAATGCATTTTCAAGAGTTAACTCATTGTGGTAAATGTTAACAATAGCGCCCATCACACAATAAAGTAAATTTATAATAAAAAAGTCTCCAGTAACATTTAAAACATAACATTTCAACTCAGTTAAAATATAAGATACGTGCCTTGATTTTCATCTTATTTAAAATGCCGGATATTCCAGTGAGTCTACGACATGTGTATTGATAGCAGGTGTTTAATATTTTTTAATTTTTATTTAATCTCCATAAAACTTTACGTCAGAATAATCTCAGAATCTGCGGAAGTTAATGTATTTGTGTTGCATAACGTGTGGAGGGGTATATCTTAGCAACGTATTCTAAAAGACTGATTGTTTTTGAATAGAAAACAACTAACTCCTGATCAGGGGCGTAGCTAGAGGGGGGCAAGGGGGCATCTGTCCCCGGGCGCAGAATCCAAGGGGCGCCAAACTGATGTTACGACATTTTCATTTTAGAATTAAATGTTTTCCATCCTTGGCAAGCAGTAGGGGGCGCTAAATCTTCAGTTGTCATTGGGCGCTGAAAACCCTAGCTACGACTCTGCTCCTGATTCAAGAATTTTTCAAAAAAAAAAAAAAAAGTTTGCAAAATATTGCTAATCTTTCAAGTATTCGTCACTGCGACAAACAACTCTGCTGTACCGCTCTTTAGAATGAAGCATTCCTTTATAATTAAGGTTTGGTGATGAATGAGTTGAAGAAAGTCATTGGAATATTGTTGAAGCTTATCATTTTTCTTTGAAGTTTTCGCAGATTCAGAATGCAAAAATGTTTGCAGAATATAAATTTATCTCTTTAACCTCCAATCAGAATCAATCAAATTTACATTCTTTAAACTCCTTATTGGAAGACTACAGATTAAAAGCTCATCTAGTACAAATTTCAAACAGCAAAATTTTAGAATATACTATGCCTTGACAAAGAAGAAACAGAAGTTTTCACCCAGTATGTTCAACCAAATAATGAGAATGCAAGTCACAACAGGTATTCCCAGTATTTGAGATGGGAAGCATAAATATTTTTCTAATTTTCAATTTACTTAAATTAATATATAGCATCAAATACAACAATCTAAAATCGGGCAGAAAATCTTACATACCGTATTTCCTCGTTTCTTCCTTTTCTTTAAACTAATTTTATAGTTCAAAAATCGAGAGGGGAAGATTATGCGAGTCATTTATTTCCGAAGAACATGGCTACAGCAAGAATATAACAAATGAAAAGTAGTCATGGATAAACTACTGATAACTATCATAATATTATTTCTTTAAAAGAAACCTACACGCCTATAAGAATACACAGTAATATAAGCTTTAAAATACCTGACGGATATTGAGCCGATACCTGACGGCTGGAATCAGTTACTGTGTAAAGTGTCAGGGGCACCTCAATTGAATAAATCGTTGAACGACGGAGAAGGGGAGAACAAAAGATCCGGATTTTGAATGACTGAACACATCAGCAGTACAACGAGCTGAAACGTAAATAGTAGAAGTGAGATGAGATTACATGTTTGGGAAGTTTATAAGGTGTGAGAAAAACCATTCAAATCTGGGTAGCTTTAATGAAGAATCTGCATAAAATAAGTTACAAATAAAAATGCAATGTAAAATAACATGGATGAAATGATAATGCAAAAATGCAAATTAAATAGAGTTAATAAAAATAAAAATAACAAAGGGAATACAATTTACCAGTCAAGTAGTTCTTGGACGAGAAAACTATGTACAACAGAGAAAGAGGAAAATTATGCGAATGTTTTAGAAAATTATGCGAAAGTTTTTAGAAAGTATCGCTTTAGTTACGGAGAAAAATTCGCGAGGAAATATATTAGTTATGTTTGTGAGCAACTGACTCGAGAATTTTGAATCGTCTGTGCTTAGAATTGCAAATAACACTTTAATTATTTATTATATGAAAGATCATGAATATGCTCATTTCCATATTTGTTAGTTTTTAATAATGAACCCGAGTTTCTTCATATGAATCGGTAATAAGCTAAAGCAATCTTTTATAAGTTTAAATTTAAAATTTGTTTTCCGAAGATGGCAACTTTCATTTGTTTTCAAGCAATAATGTGGAAATTTGTTTTGCATTTCTGCTAAATTAGGCAGAAAAAAGGCACTTTTTTAGTAGGTTTTTGAGGTAAAAATAAAGCTGCCTTTTTTCGATGCTTCAAGAACTCTTAAGAGGCTGTAAGATCTAAAGATGTAAAACTGTTACTGAATTCGATAAAGGGAGAATATAAAAATTATTTTCAAATAGATGATTTTCCAATGCCTATAAAAAAGACAAATTGCTGTACAAGTAATAAAGATCGATAAGTGTAGCTGCCAGTTTGTTTATTTTCCAGAAATATTTTTTTTCTCTTTTGTTATATCAATTCTGTGACAAATTTTCAAAGGAAAAATACCAGTGTTAAAACTCAGGCATATGTTTTTGCAGGATGGAAATTGATTATGAAAAATTAGGCGAAGTTCCACTAGCCGACGGTTCTAAGGAAGCGAGTCAACTTTACGTTACCGTGAAACAATCTAAAGAGATCAGTCCTGCTGGTAGAATTGAATTTGAAAAGGCTAAAAGCTTCATTTCTATCGTTAGTCCAAAATCTAATCTTTCACTGTAAGTATGCATTTGCATATCTGTAATCATTTATTTACAATCATTCTACATTTTATTTTGTTATTAAATTACATAGTTTAGTAAAATCCTAGTATATACGGTACGGCCTTAGCATGATTTTGAAAATTGTCGCCAGCAGCAAATTGACTCGTTTACTGCTCATCATAAATACCAGGTTTACTTCTAATCATAATGTCGCCAAAAATTGGCAAATCCCGTGTAAACCGTATAGTAGGATTAAACTCACATTTTAGCAAATCAAGCAGAAATAAGGCAATAGCATCTTATATCCTTTTAAAGTATGCAATCTCCACCGAATTTTTTTTAAACTGCACTGCTAAGCAATAAAATTGCTACAAAAGGAGAGAAAACAATTAGCAGAATCTTATTTATTAAACGTGTACAGTATGATGAAAGGAAGACATGATTAAATTTGCAGGTGGTTTGGGGTATCAGAATTATTTTGTTGAAAGGTATCGTCACACAGGCCTCAATGATATACCAGAGCCATGGGTCTTAACAGAAGAACAGATGTGCACACTACTAGAGGTAATCGTGATGTGTACGTAATGGCACCCGAAACTAACATGTTGGGGGGTTGGGCTCGTACGACGATAACGAATGAAAGGTGATAACGTTCGTTCTTCCCCGTGCGTCCACACACGGAGACATCAATCACAATGCTGAATGCAAAATCTGTACTCGTCTATATTATATCATTCTTCTGTCGAATGTCTTAGTTATCGCATCACTATAAGCACGCACACCTACCTCTGCCTGCAGCATCAAGTGAAGTAGAAACAATCGTTGCCGTGCTACCAGTTCAGGGTGTTGCAGACGTCATATTAATCTCCATGCGGATATTTGCTACCCTGCATTCAAGTCATGTTCCTAACTCAGGGTAGATGACTGGATCCCGCAAGGCGGAGAGCACAATATCCGTTCTCTCGGCTACTAGCGGCGGAGATCGCTGAGATACTGCATGGCCTTTCTAGACTCATCTATTCAATATTCGCCTGGCAGTCATAAGAGCCCGACCAACACATGCAGTAATGTTGCGGAACGGTAAAAAACCACAGTCTCGATATCCCAAGTTTCTGCTTCTGAAGTCGAATTCCGTCACGGCTAGTAGAACTTTCGTCTTCTGACACGACGCACAACATGACTTTTACACAAACAACCAACGTTCAAACGTTCAAGTGCGATTTCAAATTGAGAAACCCGCTGTGCCGAGGAAACCCGCTGTGCATAAATAGGAAGTCGGTTTCCTAATGAGAAACCCGCTCCCTATTTATGTATAAATAGGTGGTGTTACTCATACCTGCTTTGTGTGAATGCACTGGAATTCTAAGTTTGCATATCGGGGTATTCAGTACTTTTTATGCAAATCTGACGTTTATTTCATGTCTTCTTCACGGCGCAGTAATTTTAATGGCCACCTGTGTAAATAACACATTTTATTGGAAATAGTATTTCAAGTGCTTTGAAACCCAGTAACTGTAAACAATCATTTTACATATTTTATGCCATGTATTATAGCAAAGTGTAGTTATTATTCATACTTACTGCACTGAAACATATTATTCTTATGCATTATTGAAGGAGTAACCATTAGAAAACATATAAATATTTTGAAGTATAAAAAACTTTCGTGTATGCAGGAATTGATTATTTTATAGATCATGGCGTATACTTCTTCCATCTCCTTCCTTAGTTCCTTATTTATTTTTTTGAAGTTATCATAATAAATAAACCATTCTCATATTTGACTCTTTTTCTATCTATTCACTTAATCTTTGTTACACTCATTAAATCTAAGAATTTCTATAGTTAATTCCACCACGCTACAATCATTCCAATTTTCAGTTACTTTTAGTGACAACGACTTCTTAAATTTTTAAGATTATTGCAGATTCAAAATTTCCCTTCCTTCTCTTGATATCATAATTAGGTACTGTTCTGCTATCGAGACCGAATGTATGTATTGTTACAGATTTGGTATTTAAATAGTTAATGTTAGTAGAATTATAAATAAAATTGTTTTATTCGCCGTGCAGTGCAGCGCGTGAAGTTAAGCCGAAAAATTAAAAATACAAGAGCACGTGTATTTAACGCTTAATAAATAAATATCTCTTTTTGATTTCGAGAAATTGCTAGAACAATCTCGCGCGTGATTTAAAAAGCTTATGAAAAGGAGGAAAATCTCTCAATTCAGTTAGTATTTTGAACCATAGGCACTCCGTAACTTTTAATCAGTGGCATTGGCATTCAGTTAGTTGTTGTTTTAAGAGTTTGTTTAGAAAACTGCCTTTGTTGAATGTAGCGAATTCGTGGATTAGCTTTTTCTAGCTGTTTTGAATTAAGTTCTGTTGAACGTTTGAGTAGTTAAAAGATAACCACTGTGCGATATTGTAATCCTGTACGAATATCTGAGAAAATTTAAGCACTTTCTTTTATTTATTTGTGATAATAATAAACCTTATTCATTTTTTTTATCGGACTTGTGCATTCAATGCATAACGAACCCGTACGCACGCAACAGTATGTATGTACGTGTGTGGGTATGTGCATATTTGTGTATATGTGTACATACAAATACACTCGTACGTAATTATATACATGCATACATGAACACATACTGCCATTCATACATGCATACATTTCTCAATCTGGTCCTGATAACAGAACAGGACCCATAACTATCGTGTGAGTATTATGTGGGTATTATTTGTCCATGCTTGGGACTAGATATTTTCCTTTTCCTTTTTTTTTTTCCGTAATATTCTTTTTCGTGTTTCTTTTCTTATTTCCTCTTTTTTCCTTTTTTCCTTTTTTATTTTATTTTTTTTTTTTATGTTCTCTGGAGTGCAGCCGATTTTTGGCTCTAAAGTGAATTTATATTAGAAGAGAATTCACAATTCATATTCCTTATCAAAATCTTTTTTTTAACGTTAGTTGTATTGATATGAAGATAAGGCAGAAATAAAAACAAGAGTTTGAATTATAAAGAAATCGTTATTGTTTAAAAGCATATATTGCAGATCTAGAGAAGCATTGGTTTCTATACGGATAAGAATTTTAATGTATAATATTATGAGCAGCTTCGTAAATAAAAATAATGCTTAAATAATTGGTTAAATAATTTGTTAGGACAAATCGTTAAGAAGGAAGTTAGAAACGCAGTATAATTTATTTAGACGAAATTTGATGGGATTATTTCTTTCGATAGGGAGGCTTTTATGCAGAGATTTTCAAAAGATACATATATATATGTGTGTGTATTATTCACGTTGTGATGTCGAAAACCAAGAATGTAACTAAGCATGTAATCTGACGAGCCTTAGAAAACTGAACCTAAGAGTCCAGTGTTTAGAGATTTTAACCACTGAAGGTAGCGCAAGCTAATTTAGATATTTTCAACATTATTCCAGTATTCAGAGTGGCTATTTTTATACAGAACATTGTTATAATGAATAATTTTTAAACACTACATTGAGTTTTTATTTGTAGTTTTCGAAATAAACATTTAATAATTAACTGAATTTTTTTCTTGTCCTTTTCAAACTGAGATAATTGCATTATTATAGGTATGACCATCTAATAGCTATACTGAGGAAAGTAATACGAGCGAAGATTGAAAATTCAGTCGATATATTAGAAGATTTAAGTTTATCTATTAAAAGAGAAAAGACCGTAGAAGAAACCGAGCTCATTGAAATAGTTCCTTCAGATGAAAAGCTGGACGAGTTCATCAGAAGCAAAAAAGAATTTTATAAGGTGCACTTATCTTAATAATTTTAAAATCTCATTCTTCTCTGAGAACGTATCTTAATAATTTTAAAATCTAATCTTTCTTGTATCCAACAAATCCATGAGATCTTGAAGGTTAAGTTAGGTTAACCTTCAAGTTATTTGATTAAGGCAAAGCAACTATGGTGGGCTATCTCTCTATGGGGGGGATGCCTTCGTAGAAGACTTTTTAAGGGAAACTGATTCTTATCCACATTACACATGCGGAAAACCATGAAAACCAACCACGCAGTCAGCCCGTTCGACGGGATTCGATCTTAAGTCGAAATACCAGTGTTTAGTGACATTTCCGCTGGACCGCTGGTGGGTCGAGCTCCTGAAGGATTAACAAAACATTATCATAAAAAATTAATATTTTACTAAAATTATGTAGACGTTCTCAGATGTCGACACTGTAATCTGTATTTCTTTAATAATGTACCAAATGTTTCATGTAATGATCTAAACTGTGCGCCATTTCTGCTTGATGCACTGATTCTGCTGTTATCGTCACTTTGGTTCTCACTTCACTAATTAGGAAATACTATTATTTGAGAATAGATAAAAGCTAGATGTAGCTTATTTAAGTCTAGTCGTCATAATTAATATGCCAAAATTATGTGATATAAATAGAAGAATTTCACTTGGCGCAGCAGTAACAGAGAGCAGTAAATAAGAATACAATGACCATTTTTTGATAAAATGGAAATGCACATCTTGTAATATTAGATATTATAATAGCTGAGAAAACAGTATTAGGAGGTTTGTAAATACAGCAATGATATTTTTTTCCAGGAGCACATTTATTTTTAATATTTCTTATGTTTGAATTACAAAGTCACTCCTACAACTGATCTGCCGACCTATAACTGAGCCGAGCACTGCAACTGTGGCTCTTTAGGAAACGCATACATCACACGCGACTCTGTTTCCACTCTTCATAGCAGTCATAAAATTCGGAAATTGAAATGACATTCATCTGGTTGGTCACGGGTTTCTTTAATACTTTCTGTTGTTCATAAATGGTATCCCTTCTAATGCGTTTTCAGTCTGAGAAACAGGAAAAAGTTCCAGGGCTTAGGCCAGGCGAATAAACAGACCGAGTTAACAATGTTGCATTTTTAAACCAAAAACGCCTTTACGGAAAGCGCCACATAACGAGGAGTATTGTCACGGTGAAGTATTCAAGTTTAAATTATATAGCAAATCTAGCATGTAGAAGTCTATTTGATGTGTTGCCTTGTTGTAGGCATAAGTGGCATAAATATGTCTTTGTTGCTAGGCATTCAATCGCAGTTGGATGATGAAGGTTTGCGACACAGAAGTTCAAAGCATTTAATTTTATGGCCCTTATGACAGGAAAGAAATAATGAGTGAGGCAAACCAGTCACATGCAGCTAAATAAACGACATCACTGATGTTACTGAGGCGGAAAATGCCTCTATTAATCATGAAATTAAATGGTTGCGGTGTTTAAGAAGGAAATATTTCAATATGCTATGGCATTTTATTACTTTTCCTCTTTATTTTCGAAGTTACGAAACTGTTGAATATTTATCTGTCGTCACAAAATTTTGCTAACTGCAGACATCCCATTGATATATAAAAAAGTATTTTAGCATTTTTGAGGGAAGTACGGAGTAGTTTTGCACTGGAAGTAAATATATTCAAGTTATTCTTCCATGAGTAGTTAAGACTCGACCTACTTCCGGATTCTTTTGCAAAGGTGAGCCTTCCTATAATGCTTGAACCATAAACGACAGTTATGATGCCCAAGTACCACACGAACGGACTCTTAATGCTGCTATAAAGAATACGATGCACAAGAAATATTATTAAATTTATACCATGTGCATTTGGAGACTTTTCTCAAATCTCCAAAGTAGAAACATACAGCTATAGCAATGACACGTTTTGGGGAAACAATCTGGAAGTCAAAGTAGTAATGTCGTAGCTCAGACATTTGCCTGAGAATCATATTGATGCTGGAAAATTTTGGTTTGTGCTTAGAGCGAACGAGAAAAGTTTCATGTTGTATTTGGTCATGAGTCATTAGGTTATTTGGAAATGGAAATCATGAAAAAATACACTGTGCTGTCCCCAGAAATTGAAGCTGAATCTTCCAGTTGTTTGCTGGAAGGTATGCTGATCCCTCTACCACAAACTTATGGCAAGAATGACTTTATTTCCTTACAGTATGAAATACTACAAAAACTTCATTTATTTTTCATTTGTCTGTCATACTCACTTGCAAACACTCCGCATCTTTTATAAAAGCTTATGTAATTATGTCAATTTGAAATGTCATGCTTATTAAAGGAAGAATTTTCGATTTATAAATTCATAAAGAAGGAATCAAAAGTAGCATGGTTTTTTTTCTCATGTACGATAAGCAATTTTCCTTCCTTGACATTATAAGATCAAGAGATGCTTCTTCGAAAAATGAATCCGCGCGGATTCATTTTTCGCAGCATAAATCCTGGGGTATATTTTTCTCACTAAAAAGATGTTCCATCACTAAAATTCTGCAACTATCAGTTGATTTTATTGAGTTCTAAAAATGCCAGAATTTAAGTATTATGAACTTTGAATCCTTTATGCTCCGTTAATTTTTTTAAATCTTCAGTCACGTCTGCCTGAAACTATTTACTTCGCTTGAACAAATCCTGAGTTTTAATTTTACATCTTTGTTTTAGTTGGCATCAGGCGATGCTTTCGAATCTGAAAAAGATATCAAGAAAGAAGATGAAGAAGAAGAGGAATCAGATGATAACGGAGAAAGTGATGAAGAAAAACAAGAAGAACCTGCCGAAAAAGAGTCGGAAGAAGAGCTTTATGATGCTACCGTCGCCCTTCCTGACCTGCAGTATAGCATGCATCGTTTTGAACTTGCAGGAGTTGGTTTGAGTCCTAATGAAATCTTTGAGCTAGGTATAGCATTGAAAAACTTGGCCTGCGACTTTAAACTCCAAAGGCTAAGGTTCTGGGGAAAAATATTTGCTATAGCATGCAGCTATTATATAGCTGAAGCACCTTACCAAGAAAATGTGACGCTTGAAGAATTTGGATACGAGCACGTAGAAGAGCCTAAAGCTGAAGATGAAAAAGGCGCTGAAGATGAAGAGTCTCCCGAAGAGGTAAATTCTGCTTTTATTTTATATTAACGTAAAACTTAATTTACGTTGAGTAAAAAAGAAAATGGACCATTAACAAAGAACATTCTTAATGAGCGTTTGACGAGATAGTACAAGTACTCTTATTTTCATTTGTGACATCATTTTAATCCCTAGAAATTTGGTAAAAATTTTACAGAAAAATCTAGAAAGTTAAATATTTCTAAGAACGCAATTTCAGACGTTAGAACAAACTTTTATCCACAGCAGATACACTTTTTGTTTTAATTTTCTAACCATTGTATTAACGTAAACAGATAACTCTCGTGTGCTTTTGTATAGTTCAATAACCGAAACTAACCTAACCTATGGGATGAGGTATAATTTCTCACAGACGCTTAATAAAGCTGGCCGTTTACATCCGGTGACCAGCGTTATATATCCTCCTCAATAGATCGCAGAAGAAAGCCCATCATTTGGGTAGACAAGGCAAGCAATAAACAGCAAATTCTTGCACACAGCGAGACTGGAGTCATATCCTCTTTACTGATATGTCGGGATTCAGTATTTATCTGGAAAAGTCTTTGGTCCACTATGTTCTCTCAAACAAAAGGAAAGTCGAGTCTTTGTCTAGAGGGGCATCAAGCTGGTCGGTCGCACACTCATCCATGCGGGGACTCTGCTTGCACAGCCTTATAGAGATGTGGTTCCTGACCTTTATATGAGGCATTTCGGTGGAGATGTTGGAGAGGAGTTTATGTTTATGGTCGTTTAATATGAGTCCATACAGAAGTCAATAGCTTGACAATTTTCTAGAAGAAAACGCTTTCGTCGTACAATGTGGTCAGTGAAGTCGCCGGACCTAACTCTTACAAAGCATATTTAGGGTACTGTAGGAAAAGCCACTGCATGAGGCTACACTTTCCCAGCACTATCCGAGTATTAAAATTTTTGCTTTTAGAAGAATAAGATTTGTTGACATAAGCTGTGATCAACAACCACACTTACAATGTAATGACTCATTAGAAGGCATGTGAAGCTGTATGGAGTGCCTTAGGCCATTCTAGGAATAACAGATGTTATGCTTCGGGCGTTTTTGTTTATTTGCATAGCTATTCCAAAATATCTACCTACTGTACATTAGTATTGTCTGCTTCATGGTACTGGATATCTGTGTTCAAAATTTCATTCCAAACAACAGCTAATAATTTTTGAGGCATTACATGTTTTATGTTTATAGTCATAATTTTGGATATTAATGTTTTTTGGTTAATTAATGTAATTTTGATTATCAAAATTTTTGATAACATTCTAAACTTAGGTGTTTGCGCAGCCAGCCGCCTCAAATACTTATCATAAAAAAGAAAAACATATATATACTATGATTTTAACGAATTCAGCTAATGTAATCTTATAAGCTATTTTCTATTCCTCCTTACAGTATACCTTCGTGGTGTAACGGTTAGCACACTCGGCGCATAATCGAGAGTCCAGGTTCGAATTCCGGCGAGCTCATTTTTTACCTTTCCAGCATAAAAAAAACCTAATGAACCTACAGTGACGCCCGAACTAAAAGGTGGTGGGCAATAATTTCTCACCACCATGATTTGGCGATTAGATCCTTAATCCCCAGTCAACCTTTGAAAACAGGATAAGCGTTTATTCGAAGAATGCACTTATTGCTTTTAAATCTTTTATTTTATTAATTAATAACAGAGTACACTAGGGAAAAAAATAAATATCTGACGCTTCTCCAATGGAAATTACTGCAGCAAAGAACATGAAAAGGGGTAGTAGCAATTTCTTTTAAACTGCTGAGCTTATTGAACAAATTCGAAAGACAAATATCTTAAACTTTGCCGAGTGGCAACACATTTCTTTTCAATCCCCGAGTTTTCTTATTAAATTTGAACCATAAATACCTTATGTTTAGTTAAGTGGCAACATATTGTTTTCTCTGCAATTTTAATCGAAAGTTCATAAAATCATAAATAAAAATCAAATTGGAACATGTTAAGTAGTACGTGGATTCAGAATTCGGTGGCTCTAAGTGCAGTCGTTTTTCTACAATGCGAGGAACATTCAGACATACATACATTCAGACTTTTCAGTATTTAATAATAAAGATTAGCAGAAATTGTTTTTAAATTTTAAATTTGACTTTAAAATGGCGGAACGTTTACGTTTCATCTACACATCACAATAAATGTGTTGATCATTGTTTAGGTGATAGCATACAAAATGAAATCATCCAAAAAATAATTTCTGAATTATTTTAAATCTCTGAAAAATCAAAATTGTATTCTTTAATTTTTTTAATAACTATTATTTAATTGCTCCGGACGTGAGTAACACGGATCACATCATTATTCGTTATTACATTTGCTTGTTATAATAAAAGTTACAAATATTGCAGAAATTTTTTAGCAAGTTTTGGGGTTTTGAACTTATACTATGGATCAAGGATGGTTGATTTATTTAACATCATTTAAAATTATTAAATATCAATATTTAGAATTTATAAAAACAAGCTTATTACAGTGTTGCTAATAGAAATGGCAGAGATGAAAAAGAAATCCTTGAAACAAATTCAAGACATTTTTGCATTCCATGTTCTGATAATACATTAAATTTAGTAATTAATGGTGCAGCCAAAATAACATTTGAAACAGTTAACTTTTTTGGATTAATACAAGAAATGTACAGTGATTTTTAGCTATAGGTTTTATTAAAAGGATTTATTCTAAATTTAAGCTGAAAGCAGCTTTCTACCGCTTAGTGGAGGACAAAATTAAAGTGACATCATTTAAGACTATCACTGAAATTTATTGTGCTTTTTTTTAATATTACAGACGATGATCCTAAAGGTATCGGTTTTAGATCTCAAGCTGATAATTTAATTAAATTTTTTTTTACTCCATTAATGGCATCTAAAGTTCTATAAATGTTGTAAGCAAAATCATTCAGAACCCAACATTCAATGTACAAGCTAATACTGAATGTCTAGCTCTAGAACGCGTCACGAAAGATTGGAAAAATTGAAGAACTGATGAACATTTTGAAAGCATTATTAGTTCTGGAAAAAAGAGAGAAAAAAAAATCTGAAATGCTTCAGATTTTAAATTACGTCCAAAGGGGCGTTTTTTAACATTTTGTGTGTTACCTTTCTTTATTAAATATCATGTTCCTCGCACTTAAACCATAAGATCCAGTGCAACAGCAGTATCGCAAAATAGTTTTAAACGAGCATATCTTTAGAATTTCCGATACAGAGACTCACGCGCTGGAGATAAAAATGTTTTTTTCTGCACAACGTTGCCATTGCTCGCTTTGAAATCCTTGAGTTTGTTAATCAAAAATTCGTCAAAGTTTTAAAAAATAGGAAATCGATCATAAAACAAATTTCAAATTTCAAATTTGGTTTTCCACATGCTCATATTCGTTGGAGGATTACGTTATTCAAAATTCGATGACTCTATGTACCGTTGTTTTATCACAATACGAGAAATATACATACATTTATGCAGATTTTTCATTATTTAATTTCTTCAAATATAATGCAGGACTCTAACCTTTTGTGGCAACACTTTTAAAAGTGAACCGACATTTATGAGTCCGACGCAAAATGCCAAAACGAAACTAATAGTCCTTCGGGATTCAAATCCCTTTGGACTAAAAAAAAAAAAATAAATAAATAAATAAATAAATAAAAATTTGTATGTTTAGAGGAAAAAAAAAAAAAAATCTGAAATTTTTCAGATTTTAAATTACTTCCAAAGGGGCGTTTTTTTAACGTTTTGAGTGTTACCTTTATTTATTAAATATCATGTTCTTTGCACTTAAACCATAAAATTCAGTTCAAGAGCAATATCGCAAAATAATGTTAAATTAAGCATATCTTTAGAATTTCCGATATACACAGTCTCGCGAGCTGGAGATAAAAGTATTTTTTTTCTATATAACGTTGCCATTGCTCGCTTTGAAATCCTTGAGTTTGTTAATCAAAAATTCGTCAAAGTTTTAAAAAATAGGAAATCGATCATAAAACAAATTTCAAATTTCAAATTTGGTCTTCCACATGCTCATATTCGTTGGAGGATTACGTTATTCAAAATTCGATGACTCTATGTACCGTTGTTTTATCACAATACGAGGAAAATACATACATTTATGCAGATTTTTCATTATTTAATTTCTTCAAATATAATGCAGGACTCTAACATTTTGTGGCAACAGTTTGAAAAGTGAACCGACGTTTATGAGTCCGACGCAAAATGCCAAAACGAAAGCAATAGTCCTTCGGGACTGAAATCCGTTTGGACTAAAAAAAAAAAAAAAAAAACCGCTTTTAACATTGATACCGTTTTTGTAATAATCGAAGAATAAAAAGAATATATCGGGTTGAAAAGATAGTAGTTTTGGTTTTTAGTGTGAAATAAAACTCAAATTTTTCTATACGAATAATGAACAATTATCAGTCAATCTTGCCATTATCCTGGTGACATCATTATTCCGTGCTCATAGAACTTCTGGTCTTTATCAGCAAAACACTCAACTAAGTGCGATTTGAGATGATCTTTATAACTCAAATTTTTACAATTTAAGAAGTTTTCCAAACTTGAAAATAAATGATAATTCGATGGTGCAAGGTCTGGGTTGATGCGACATCACTTTTCAACCAAGCTCCAATAATTTCGTAGATGTTGCTTAAATGTGAAGCCTAGCATTGTCATGGTTGGAACACGATTCCTTTGCGATTTGTCCATTCTGGCCTTTTCTTTTTGATTGCTTCTTATAATTTAATAAGTTATTGGTGGCAAATACCTGAGCTGATCGTTTCGTTTCTTGGAAGCAGCTCAAAATACTTAACACCTTTTTAATCCCACCAAATTGACAGCATGATCTTTTCCTGATGCAATTTAGTTTTCGATATGATTTGTGCTAATTCATCATCCCTTGATCATAATCTTTTTTTAATTAACGTTATTGTAGACTATCTATTTTTCATTACTAGTGATAATACTTTTAAAAAGTGACGATTTCATTAACATTTGAAATGCGTAGAGCAAATATTGATTCGTTGTGTTAAGTAAATTTCTTTCAATTTATGCGGAAGCAAAATATCGACCTTCTTAACGAGTCCCATACATTTTATGTGATTTTCAATTGTACGTGATACATTTAACCATTTTGTAAACTCTCGCTCACTTATAACACAGTTCGATTCAATTACGGCTCAGAGCTTCAAGGCCAGAACGTTGGTTATCAAGCGAAAAGTCTCGAGAACGAAATTAATTAAATAAGTTCTGATACATGCGTTCTGTTAAGAAAATCAATCACTTTTATGTACGAAGATTTATTATTCATTTAGTTCGCATTTAGTTAGCATTTCTCTGAAGGCATTAAGGAAACTACTTAAATATATCATTCACAAATCTGTGGAATATTTTGTTGACAATATTTCTTAAACCCTTAAATACTGAGAACTTGGCCAATTATTTCCAATTTGTGTACAAATGGGTATGCACAGAAATGCTTTTGATCTGATTAAAAGCTTATTTCACACACAAAGCATTTTGAGAAATGATATTTTTATTTTAGGCAGAAAAGGAAGAGGATGAAGCAGAAGAGGAAGAAGCATCTGGTGATGAAGAATCTGAAAAAAATGAAGAAACAGAAAAACTAAGTAGGTTTCGGTGTAAATATTTAATAAATGTCCATAAAATTCAGCTAAATTTCGCCATAAATTTGGTATTAGCATAGAATAATTAAAACATTTTTTTTAGTTTATAGAGTTTAAATCAAATGCATTAAAGAGTAAAACGTAGTTTGGTAATTTCTGATTATATGCAACCCCGCAGGAAAGTCACGAACTCGTTAACGACGTCGGAAAGCATTTGCGAACTCATTGGCGAATTTGGAAAGAAACATCTATTTCAACGATTCAGTGGCTGCACATTTTTACTGATGGTTCTCAGTGTGATTGCCATTTTAAGGTTGGGCCTGGTATGTTCTCAAATCTTTTTTCTTTCTACGCCTCTGAAGGAAGGATACATTGGTATTTCCTTTGATGGGGCATTAGCCATCTGTACAGCCATAAAGCAATTATTAGCTATTCATTACAATCAAAGTTTGCAAAGGCGGTCGTTTTTTCTGGTCTGACGCAGCCATTCAATCAATTAGCCTTTTTGAACACCCACATTAACACCAGAAATTTTGCAATGTCAAGAATTCCTGAAAACTCTCACTTTAAAGGGAAACAAATCGTTCTCCAGTACCTGGCCATTGTGGCCTTTGGGGCATTGAACAAGCGGACGTACTTGCAAAAAGAGATGCCAGCTTACTACAGCCTCCTAATGCAACCATTTCTTATAGGAGGATTAAACTGTTTTTAAAAGGTTTATTTACATCTAATATCTTATGAGATCTTCAGACTCGTACAGCCTTAAAAAGTTAGAGAATGATAAGTCTTTATCTTTCTTCTGATGGTCCAAAACGCAATGCAATTGCTGCTTTCCGTCTGTCTACAGGTCATGATTGCCTTGCTGCCCAGCTGCATCGCATATGCATTTCAAGCGATTCTATTTCCGCACTTTGTGATTCTGGAAAAGAGCGTTTCGCGGTTTTACAGAGGAGTCGAGATACTGGGAGGCAAGAGCGTTCCTTAGGCAATGACTTCGGTCTTTTTGTTCTTAGTTCTATTGTTTGTAATTGTAAGACTTTAGTTCTTTGTAACTCTTTGCCTAGTCATTGGAAATAATAATAAAACACTATTTTAACGATGCATGCAAAGCCGCCTATTTTTTCATTTATTAAAAAAATAAAATACTTATTTTTTTCGAGAAATCCTTTAATTTGTTTCGTTAGTTTTGTTCCCACGAACACAGTGATCTGTTTTCACAAACTCGGAAAATTCAGAAAATTACACGAACTCGGTATCGCCCACAACGTAAGCATTGCGAACCAGCCACAGTAGCTCAAGAAAAGGTTAAAATTCTGTATTCACTACAAATAAAAGAGGGCAAAAATTACAGTTCCGTTACGATTCGTTACAACAAAAACAAATGTAATTAATAAACAAAGAAATTCTAATAAAAAGAATGACCTTGAATTTCAGTATTGCAAATCCATGTGCACTCAATCACACTTGCGCTATGCGCTAACCTAGGTTGCTACGTAAATATCTTTTGGCGATATCATGTGTTGTCTTAGCAATACATTTTCAAAGCTATTCTGTGGAGGTTTCCAGATAATCAGAAAGTGCCTGGAAATGTTTAGCTATCAATATTCATAATCATATGACTAAAGATAAAATTGAAGGGCTGTTAATAATGATGCATTATAAATTAAAATTTCCGAAGAGAAATTTAAGCAAGTTGAATATAATCATTCTAATATATGTTATTTTTGTTCTAGCGCTTCAATTATTTCTTGTAACTCATGCCAACGACAGCCGCAAACTTACTGTCCTTGCGACAAAGAATTTCGCGAGCTTGTTTTGTTGTTACTATCAGGCAAGTGAGATAAGTCACAACATCATTATGGAAAGGAAACATCTAAGTAAAGGATACATATTTCGACACAAAACAAGGTAGAAAATATAACGGTTGGCAGTTAAGCGTATTTTGAAATTTCACTAGCAGATACGATGCGCACACAATACACCTCGCCAAATGAGAAAGCATTAGCTATTTATACAGATGGCTCAAAAACGGAGAAGGGCACAGGCTGCACCTACTATGTACTCTAAGAAGGAGAAGTGGTTGAAACTTGGGAAAGACGACTGGCAGACAAAAATACCGTCTTGCAGGGGGAGCTTCTTGCATTAAAAACAGCCATCAATTTGGAAAAATATCAATTAGAAATAAAAGTCAACATATATAGCGACTCTGCCTCAAGTTTGGAGTCTATCCGAGGGCACAAGACAAGGAGTCCGTTGGTGCAAGATATTAAGAAAATTCTTCTAAGTATCCCACCAGATGGGACACCTGTCCTTATCTGGGTTCCAGCTCATGTGGGTAATACTGGCAACGAAGCGGCGGACGTGCTTGCGAAATCTGCAGCCAATGACTCCAGTAGACTGGAAAAAGCAGTAAGTGTTCCGCAGTCCTATTTTAAAAAAATCACGCTCAGTAGCGTTTTACAAGAAGTGCAGAAAAGATGAGAAAGGGAAAGCACAGAGTGGAGCACTTACAAGTTCTTTCCGAAAGTTACATGCTCAATTAATACATATAGCGGAGCACAAACTCAATTCTACACTGTCCATGGTCCTTTTCCACATTTAAGAGATTCGGCAAACGAGCTTCAGAATTGTGTGATTGTGGTGCGGTAGGCGATGCAGATCACTAGCTCTTCAGTTGCCCACAAAGCGATAAACTGCATTTAAAAATGCCAAGCAGTGAATACCAAGGAGGTTAGAATAAAAGGAGGGAGGGTTCGCAGTTTCCTCCACTATCGGGGAATGAAACTCCACGGAACAAGCGGCGTCCATGTTTGTTACTTCAAAACATTGCAATACGGTAGTGAAACGTACGTGTTTGTAAGCTGTTCTATGCATGAATTTTCCAGTAAAAATATGTTAAATTTATAATGAAATGCTTCGCTATTGTTAGTTTTTGTTTTAAAGTTATAAAGGTGATATCTGTAATTTACTAAGTACAGAAAATCATTAAGAAATATTTCGAAATCTAAATGCATGTGCCATAACATTAAAGCCTTTACAAATTATGTTTCTGCATAATTTCAAGAATTTGTTTAGGTTTTATTAGCAACTTCTCTGGTTACTTTTCCAATTGTTTCTTTAAGAAGTGATATTTCTGATTTATTCGCAATATTATTATAATTTATTAAAGAATCATTTTTACCTGAAATTAATAGCAGATAATTATCTAGAAAAAATGGTAACATGTTGCTTTTTTTTTTTTAAATGAAAGATTTAAATAGATTCTTTTCACAATCCAACAACCTTATATCAACAAGAAGAAATAAATCTTAATAAAGTAAAACAGATTTATGTGAATTCAATGATTTCAGTTTATGCGCGTTTCATAGTTATGAATCTCAAAGAAATTGCCTTGAATTAAACTGAATTACAGAAATATACCTATATAATTTTGGATATATCTTTCCGTACGTTCAATTGTGTAAATATTTTACTTACGTTTTATCGCTATACTTGCCCAGAAATTTGTAAGCTTTATGCAAAAAACAATTTTAACAACAGAACAGTTTATCTTGATCAAATGCACAAATTATATTCGTAACAGTTCACAAAACTTAAGAATGAATAATAATTAATACATAAGGAAAAGCGTTACTTTATTTAACACCTTTACAATTCATAAAAATAGTAACAATTGATTTGTTACTTTTCATGAAAATTATAAAACGAATTATCTAAGCGTTCAAATTATACAGCAAGCATATAATCCTAGCATATATCATTATATGTTAAGGAACGAAGATACCAGCTGTAAGCAAAAGCATTAAAATGTATTGTATTTAACATGTTTCGATTATTATTAAGTCTTTTTTGTCACATCTGGAAAGAAAACAACATGACATTGTGACATTTTTTAACATATTTATGAAATTACACACACAAAAAAAAAAAAAAAAAAAAAAAAAAAAAATACTTACGAGTGAACAGTAATCCCAGGAATATTTTTCGAAAATCTATTTGTGCATCCATATGCAATATAAGCAGACATGCTTCAAAATGAAAGGAAAAAAAAAAAAAAAAATGTTACAATTACAGACTTCCTTGCACAAGTCACAGTGATAACAGTAACGTGGCCGCCAAGCTTCACCGTTTGAGTTGAACCTTCCCTCCTTCTATTCTAACCTCCTTGGTGAATACTGGCCGCAATGGGCGGAGAATACCTGTGGCAAACAAGCAGACGAAAGCTGAGATAGAGGAGGTGATCAGGCTATGCTCAGTAAGGTACTAAGGTATTCTACCCCTTCCTTGAGAACGTATCTTCGCAGCATAATTTTAATAACAAATCAAAATATTACTACAACTGAAAATCAACACTAGAAAAATAGCCCCCCCCTTAGAATAGTAACAGGACTGTAAGAGCAAAACTACTGTAATGTAAGCATATTACTATCCTGTTTGTACGTATTGGAGAAAAATAATATTGTAAAGCAGTTTAAAATGACATTGAAAATCCATTCAGTGTGTAAATGAATTACAAGTTTACTTTGATTATCTCAGTCAAAGTATTGTAAATATGAATTCAAATAATGTTTAAATGGGCACATAACTGTCATGATTTTATGTAACTATCACATGTAACTTGTACAAGACAATGCTTGTAATTAAATACCTATGCTTGTACAGAGGCCTTGTATGCCCATGTAAAATTTATATTTATATTTTTATGCGGAAGAAATATTCCCTTCTGCCAGGATGACTATTAACACTGTAAGACTTTTACAACAAAGTCAGGTCATTGGTCATCTCAGGCGGCGCTCAGCAGATACGATGTTTCACTGAATAATTTGGGTAAGTAGGATTTATTACCTGCTCAAATCAATCAATGAAACATTTTTGGTAAGCAAAAAAGTTAACTTTTTGAGAGTGGTCATTTTACAAAATATTATTATACGTATATTCACAGAGAAACTGTATTTAGAAATTTCTGGTGGATGATGATTCTTCAACATCAGGGTTTGCCGATTGAGTCCTCAAATCTCCAGTCGTTTTTTAAAAGGGGGGAATATATAAGGTATTTTCTCCCCCCTTTCTGCATGCCTTCGTGGTGGCACACTCGGCGCGTATTCGAGAGGTCCGGGTTCGAGTCCCGGCGAGGGCAGTGCTCATTTTTCATGTCTCCAGCGTCAAAATAACCTAATGACTATATAATGTAATAAATGGTTTTTAACGATTAGCTATATTCAAGCATCTGTAAATTTGATGTTTTTCAGGACCTGATTAATATTCATAGAGAAAAAATAATTTAGACTTATAAGAATAAAACTAAAATCTAGTATATGAATTTACTAATTAATATAATAATGAAATTTTGAATTTCAGTATTTTGTAGGGTCTCTGCTTACAACTAAATGTAATTTGTGGCAAATCCTTCTAAGACGCGTAAGAGACTCATTGCTATGTCTCGATAAGCAAACAGAAATGTACTAATGGTGTAAAAGATCCTTTTATTAGGAACTCAAATAAGTTGAAGAGAAGGCACTCCCGGTGCTTACAAACCAGCCGGCATTTATGGCATGAAATCAAAAGTAGAATTTAAAATTGAAACTAAATCTAAGACTTAATTAGCCAAATGCTACGCAGGGATATTAACACACGCAAGTTGGCCCTTCCTACGCCGTCGTGGTAGCAACATTTGAAAGAATAAAGCAACGCCTTAAACAAAAATGATATCGTAGAATATCAACTAGTAACGTGGCCTTCAGCAGGTGTAACGCGCTGTGACTAAAAGCAGTCTCAAACTCTCACTTAAATGCACGCGATTTTTAAAATTTGCATTTTAGCAGGAGAACGATGAGAGAAGATTGACAGTAAAGAGTAGCATAACATAACTGGTTAATTCACATATATACCTTATAACTTCTATTACAGTGTACGAAATTAGACCTTTCGTTTAAATGCATTACGCTAATTTTAGCATTATGTATGCATTTTTTACTCATAATTCAAGTTTAACTATATAACTATATACTTTAAGTTACTGGTGACAAAACTGCAAATCAAGTTTCCAAAGTTAACAGATGCCATCTAATGAAATACTGAACTTACGTTTCCTTTAGTGAAGAATTGCATTAGACATGAAAAATTAAGAATTTTTACTTGAGTGTTTTTTGAACAACGTGTGATGAGAGTACAGAATCTTCAAGATAGACACATCAGTTGGAAGGCAGCACCAAAAAAAAAAAAAAAAAAAAAAAAAAAAAAAAAAAAAAAAAAAAACTTACCAGAGGCTCGAAACTACCTTACAAAACCCGTGAGCATGTTATGAGATCGGGGACATTTCTTGGAAGGGAAAAAGGGGCCATAAGAAAGGAAAAGATAAGATTATTAGATAATTATTATTTCAACCATAATCGAAAAAAAGTTTAGCCGCTGTTTCCTTCAGCAAGTCATTTTGTAACTCCTCGATACTGAATTTTTTAATAACGATATTTCATTACTACTTTTTCTTCTGTAATTTAGATGAGCCTGAAGAAAGAGTTCTTCCACCTATACCTGAACCTCAGCGCAAAGTGCGGAAAACGATACCAGAAGAAGAGAATGGGAAAGGCGTTAATGAATATATGTATTTCGTCTGTACCAAAAGTAAGTTATAGTAACAAACTGTACTTACAAACTTTTGTAAAGGGAATTACAACTTTATCTTGATTTTCTTTGAGCAAATATATGTAAAATGGTATTGCAACCACTTATTTATAAGAAGCCATCATCAAGGTAGTTGCCTTATTGTGAAGCAGAACTTCATCTTTTATATCCACAAATGGAAAAAGGGAGAAGGAAAATTAGAAGATTCCTTTTCTGTAACATTGTAATTTTTGTTACAATTTCAGATGCTCATTCCTAAGAAAACCACAATTTTCTGAGAGAAATTTAAACTTCCTGATGCATTCTTTTTCACTTCGTCTTCATTTCTTTGGTTATGTCCTTCCATTAAGTCCTTTTTAAAATTTCTTACCAGTTTTGGGAGTTTTCTGTCTCTATTTTTAAAAGTGTTTTGAAATTTTCAATTGGCAAGTGTTTTCTTACCCTTTTTCGATGGACTGTTGCTACTTAGTTAAATTTTTAATTTTACTATTCATGTGTACAAATTATCCCTTCATCGTTGCCATAAATCAAAGTCCGTCCCCAAAAGTCTGTTTTGCTTGTATTACGCTGCCATCAAATCACGCTCTTCATTTACACAACAACCAGACGCCTTAGACCTTCTGCATGTCGCTGTAATTCAATGCATTTTTTAACTTTTCTTTTTTTACATAAGTAAAACAGATGGATAACAAAATAGGATCTTTTAAAGGTCAAAGGTGTTTAGAAGTACTTGTAGGAAAGACTAGAAAACGCAACTTGAAATGGTTAGAGATTCAGATTTCTGTATTTACATGCCATTAGATTCTTTTAACCGTCTAAGATCGCGTTAAAGACGCAAGAGTAATAATCCATTTGTGGACTAATCATACCTTTAAATGCTTTATTAATGAATAATATTTCAATAATTCTTTCAAACTAACATTAGTTTTACATTTTCATGTTTTCAAGTTGGCGAGCAGTGGAGATGCCTACCGCATTTAAAGCCAATCCACATTATTCAAGCCAGAGCTACGAAACGATTCTTCGTTGGAAATTTAGAAGCAGAGGTAATGCGAATTTTCTGCAATATGGTCAAATTAAAATAAATAAAGTACATTAGACGTAAGTCATGAAAAAAATTGTTAGAATTAATCCTGCATAAATATCTTATTTAAAATCTATTTTAATCTGATAATCTTTTTAAGTAAATTAGATAAAGATTACTTAAAGTTGCTTACTTAATAATAAAGAATAATTAATTTTAAGTTAATATTTAAAGAGTAAAAAGTTGTGTATTACCGGAAATTAATTTGTAAAATACGTTAAAAATTTAATTATAGAAGACAAATAGTAAAAATAGTACTTTGTACACATGCCATAGGTCTCAGTATTAATAGTGTTGAGGGTTATTCATAATGCAATGAATAACCCTCAACAATATTAATACTGAGACACTACAACAATATTACAATATACAACAATATTGGTACTCAACAATACTAAATTTTGAAAACACATTTCAAAATTCAAAAAATTTTTGAGGAGCTGAAATTCAAAAAAGCGAAAATTCAAAAAATTTTTGAGGAGCTGAAGGCACAAAAACAATATTCTTTACAACCCCCCTACACGAGAAAAAATGAATTTAGCCACCTTTTAACGCGTTAACTAACTCGTTTTGTGTGTCTTGTCAACCTTTGTGACAAATTTTAATTGAGATTCTCTTGCAAGTTATCTCAGTAATGGTTTCTGCGACAAATGACTGGGACATCTAATTGCTTGGAAGAGGCAAACACTTTTTACATTCACCTGTGCCATATACAGACGTTGCAGAATGTCTAAATAAATCTTCCCAATGAAACGCAGATAGATGTCTTCCGTGTCAGCAAAGACAAATACTTTTAAAGTTTATGAAAAGTGTAAAAAGAAATTTATTAAGTTTATGTTTATTTAAATGCAGTAAAATTTGATATATTGGTTTTGTAACATCTACAAATCATATATAATCTTTTCTTCTGTTGTGAGTGGCACCAATAGTAACAAAAATAGTCGCAGGATATTGTTGTTTAAAAAAGAACGTTGAACGTCTTTAAAAAGTGAAAAATAAATTGTTTTCTTTTAAATTTAGTAGCGTAAGTTATTCTTAAACCAGACAAATAATGTTTATGATATAGCAACCGATACAGGTTAAATAGTTTATTTGTCATGAATTTCTAAAACATTTCACGGAATTACGAATATTTTTATAAATTAATAACGAATGCCAGTTTATAATATACAAGTTTTATATATTTGTTGGATAGCGAATTTTATCGGATCGTAAGACTGTTGCTGTCAAAGGGAAAACAACAAGTGTACACTTAAAACAAAGATATGGACACCAATTATATTCTGCTTTATGAAGTAAAAATCTCTATTTTTCTGTATATAACTAAGGCGAAACGATCAATCAAAGCGAAGTAAATAGGATATCATGTTTCGGTTATAGTAACGGCGTTCATGTTAGAATTAGCGACGCTTTTAATGTAAAAACAGAAAAAAATGTGATTTTTCACTTTCGATTTCTATTTATTTATTTCGATTTCTATTTATTCTATAAAATTCTTAAGTATTTTGCAATAATAACATCATGTGTTTTTAACTGACAAAGTGTTGGAAAATAAACAGCTGAATTTTACGTTCGCATAAAAAGATAACACAGTATATTTGTAAAAGAATCAAGTACATATGAGCTTACCTTTTTGTAACAGAGTTAAAACTTTACCTAAAGCCTTTTACTTGTGCGATTGCTCTTATGAATGCTGATGTTACTACTACATCCTTAAACATTAAAACTGCAGTAAATGCACCTCTCTGCAACAAGGAGGACAGGGATGACTTTCATGGGAAAGTGATAATCGAATATTAAAGGCTATATTTTAATTGAAGTAAGATTATCCTCGAGATTTTTGATCCAAAGATCTGAATTTTATTATGGCGATTGCCGAAAAATTAATTTCATTCGCTTCCTGTCGCCGATTGTTATTTGCTGCTTCCTCAAAAATGAGTACAATATACAGGGAATATACAGGGAAGAATGCAACCTGATTTTTAACCAGAATAATACAACATGGGTAGAACACACATTTTTTTTTCTTTTGGATAATTTTGTAAAGTAGTTTAATTTTCGTTTTCTCCATAACTGACATAATCTGAATATGGAAATTGTGCTAAATATCCATACGATACACTACTCCAATGTAATTAATCCTAGATGCAAAATTTAGTTTGAGAAAATAAACTAACATACTTGAATTAGAAAAACGTAACTGTTCTAACATCGAACAATGTAAGAAAATCTGTACAATGTCAAGGTGTTTGAAAAAAAAAAAAAAAAAAATGCAGACTGCACTTCCTAAATATTGAGCATAAACTCATAACTCCAATTTTATTATTATTCAAATAAGGTAAATAATTCAATGAAAACAGTTTAAGGACTGGGAGTAAAAAAAAATATTTTATTATATAATCTCGTAGTGCAAAAGCTCAGTTAGTAAAATATTCATAATGCTGCAATAAGTACAAAACCTTTCAGATACTTACGTGCAAAATCTTTAAAGAGTTTATTAATTAATTATTTTTTCGGGTTAACTTCAAAGTTATTAACGAGATCTGCCTGTTCATTATAGAACCATTAATTGCCAAAACTTGCATATTTTGTTTTGCGGTTCTTCCCTAACTCTTTCTCAAAATCTTTTTTAAATTATTAATAAAAAAATTTTCTTTTCTGGCATATATCTTAGACATTTGCTCGACTAAAGTATGAAACTTTCTGCGTCAATTTATTAACGCATAATGAGTATTTTATTATTTGGAACAAGTACTAGATTTTATATGTGAAGAAAACTGTTACACACAGAGCTGAAATAGTTTTCACAAAATGCTTTATATTACTTTAAGAAACCTTACACTTGCAATTACATGTCTGAAAACATTGGTTAGAAAAATAAAATAGTGTTCTAGTAATTATTTTTTTAGTCCAAAGGGGCAATTTGCCCAGAAGGACTATTAATTTCGTTTTGGCATTTTGCGTAGATTTCCGATAAGCGTCGTTTCACTTTTCAAATTGTTGCCACCAAATATTACACCCCTGTATTATATTTAAAGAAATTAAATAAAAATAATTTGCATGAATGTATGTATGTTTCTAGCATTGTGATAAAATAGAGGTACTTAGAGCCATCAAAATTTAAATAACTTAATCTTCCATAGAATATGGGCACGTGGAAGCAATAATTTGAATTTGAAATTTGTTTTATTATCAATTTTATATTTTGTAACACTTCAACGAATTTTTGATTAACAAACTAAACACTTTCAAAGCGAGCAATGAACTGTACGGAGGGGGAAAAAAGTATCTCCAGCGCCGCGAGACTCTGTATTGGAAATTCTAAACACATGCTCATTTTAAAATTATTTTGCTATATTGCTCTTGAACTTAATTTTATGGTTTGAGTACGTAGAACATGTTATTTAATAAATAAAGGTAATACATAAAACGTTAAAAAACGCCCCTTTGGACGTAATTTAAAATCTAAAACTTTTCAGATTAAAAAAAAAAAAATTTATTTTAGTTATTTACTTTTTTATTAGTTCAAAGGGGCTTTATCCCTGAAGGACTATTGTTTTGCGATTTTGCGTTGGTTCTCTATAAATGTCCGCTTTACTTTTCAAACTTTTGCCACCAAATGTTAGAGCCCTGCCTTATATTTGAAGAAATTAAATCAGGAAAAATCTGCATAAATGTAGGTATATTTCTCACGTTGTGATAAAACATACATAGAGCCATCGAATTTTGAATGACTTAATCCTACTGCGAATATGGGCCAGCGCGCGAGACTCTGAATCGCAAATTAAATTCTAAAGATATGCTCAATTTAAAACTATTTCGCGATATTGCTCTTTAACTGAATTTTATGATTTAAATGCGAATAACGTGATATTTAATAAATAAAGGTAACAGACAAAATGTTAAAAAAGCGCCCCTTTGGACGTAATTTAAAATCTGAAACCTTTCAGATTTTTTTTTTTTTTTAAATTTACTTTTATTATTATTATTTTTATGAGGCTCGGTGGCGTAGTGGCTAACACGGTCGGGCAGCAGCACGACAGGTTCGGAGCTCGATTCCCGGGTTAGGCAAGGTTAACTCAGGTTTTCATCCCTTGAATGGATACAAGATAAAATGAGTACCAACTTCATTTGGGGACTAAACATCGAGGATGCTGCGACAAGCTGACCACTTGTCTAGGGTATATGCTCATGTGGCCCGGCGCCCACGGTCGAGAAAGCAGATATCAGAGCATTGCATGGCATGGTTCACTAAGGGCTGTTGCGCAAGTGAGTTTAGTTAAAAAAAAAAAAAAAAAATGCAAATTTCTTTTCTTCTTTCTAGCTTTCAGGTTGTCTTCCCTATCCAGGAAAAGAAGCCCACTATTTAAGAGCACAAATTGCCCGAATAACAGCAGCTACATGCATAGCTCCCAAAGATTATTATGCATTACCGTCAGGTAATTTCGAATCATTAATTATTTTCAGTAGGTTTTACTAACGAGATTATTTTAGACCATACGTATGCATAAGAGAATTTCGTAAGCCGGTAAGATGAACGTTATTAGATTGTATACAAACTGAGTAAAAATTAGTAAATTTTAAATAATTTTTAGCGATAAAAGCAGATACGGGATGAAAAATTCTCCCTTTAACATCTTATTAGGCGGGAGGAAGAGTTTGACAAAAACGAGCCTCATTTTAGGCTTTGATGAAACGCGATAAAACTCTGATCTGAAGCTTACCAACCTCATTCAGTTTCTGGAAAGGGCGCATTTCAAACAAGAAGAGAAGGAGCTGAGCTCTGGCCCTTTCCCAAGCTTTATGCAGAATGGATCTTAACTAGGAACTCCTTCAAAAATGCTTTCCCTCGAAGCCAAACATCCCTGAGTATAAATCTCAACGAGCACAATAAACATTAACAGTTCGAAGGGAAAATACTTTGCGCAGGAAAATTTCTTAATAAGAAACATCTTGTTTTCGTCATTTCTCGGAAAGTCGGTTTTGCAAAGTCTTGTAAATTCTATAAGGATATCAGGTATCTAATACCTACTTTCTGCATGTTATCATGCTGTACTGGAAGCAGACTCGATGCGTATTCGGAAGGTCCGGAGTTCGAATTCCGGCGAGGGCATTGAGGATTTCTTCAGTTTCCAGACTTCGAAAAATTTTTTAAATGACTCTTTAAGTGACGCTCGGACTATCAAAACTTAATGAAATATGTATGCTTAGCTTCAAATTATTTGTACAACTTATAAGGTATTTTCTCCCTCCCTTCTACATGCCTTTGTGGTGTAACTGGAAGCGAATTAGACGCATATTCGGGAAGTCTGGAATTCGAATCTCGGAGAGGGTATTGCTGATTTCTCCAATTTTCTGACTTTGAAAAATTCTGAAAGACTCTATAAGTGGCGCTCGAACTAAAAGGTGGTGGAAGATAATTCCTCACTCCAGAATTTGGTGACTGGGTCCTTTAATCCCCTGCCGTCCTTTAAAAGGGGGAGTGGATAAGGTATTTTCTCCCTTCCTTCGCTTGCCTTCGTGATGTAACTGAAAGCACGCTCAAAGCGTATTCGGGGGGGGGGGACGACGACGATTCGTATCCTGGCTAGGTCATTGCACACTTTTCCCGTTTCTGAATCGATGTATTCTAATGACTCTAGAAACTTAACACTGCTTTGTTATATGTATATTTTATTAGCTACAAATTTATGCTTGTTTTCAAAATTTGAAAAAGTAATAAGACATTGTGTTATCTAAATGTTAAAATCTTTCTCAATCTGTACATTTCCATTGCGTGCATGTTGTTACCTCAAGAACTGACTGAAATAAATGTACGAGTCCTTTAGCTGATTGTTATTATATCATTACTTGTGTTTACTGTGTTATGGTTTAACGTTCAGATAGATACATTCAAATATTTTCACATTTTTTCATCAGAGGACGATGATGAAGGCGAAGATGAGGAAGAGTCAGATTCCAAAGTTATTGCGAAGAATGAAGAATATGAGACAAAATCTATTAAGGAGATGATAGCCGAGGGCTTGAATGCTTGGGTTCACAGCAGGCCAGCTATACTATACCAAGTAATTTCAGATCAGTTAACATTTGGCAATAGATTTATTTATTACATTTAATAAAGCCCAGATAGAATAGTGGTTAGTGACGCTGACTACCATACCAAAGGGCACCGGATTCGGATCTCGGAGAAGACATAGACTTTGTAAATGTATAGTATTTATGTTACATAGGGGATCAGAAACTAAATGCCGAACTGAAAGTCCTTTTAAGTAGTTAGGTAGTAAGGGAAGAAGGACGGGAGAAACTCGGATCCGTCCCCTTGGATGCTTTCTCAATTGGGAAATCCTACTGTCACCTACATAATGCTCATGGCCCATGTCAATGACTGACGAAATCATGAGCTGCTTGCCCCTATAAAATTTGTGGACCTCTTCTAATTAGATCAGACAAGTGAGATTAGCAACAACAGCAATACAATATTTCGAATAAAAGCTTTATGTCATGAAATTTTTAAGAAGACATAAACGAGGTACAATATATGTGCCCCATGTCACTCCTGTAATAATATCTACTTGCTCCTCTCTTCCTTTTAAAATAGTAGCTCTGTGTGAGACTATTATGATGCAATAACATATGTACTTTGTATGTATAATGCGTGGCTATAAGGATTTTATGTGATCTATAGAATATCTATACTTTATGAGAAGCAGTTTAAAAGCAAGCTACTTGAAAAAGATCTTCCATGAAGCAATCTTCCTTTTAGGCAAATAGCCCTCATTTATACTTACCATAATCAATAAACCACCTAACCAAATAGTGTGTGTGTGTTTCCAATAAGAAATATTGAAAACATTAACTTTAATTTGCAATAGTCTCTTAACGCTCCTCTTTAATTCCGATATTTCCCCTTTCTGCCTTCAAAACAGTATTTGTTTAAAGTAAATATCTCTAAACTGCGTTTAAATTTCAAAATTAATCGCTGTCAAATGATTCTTACATATAGCTAATGATGCAGAGATTTTGCATAACGCTTCTGCGATTTAATAATTCTGAATTCGGGAAGCGAATCGTTTAACAACCAATAGCGATTAATCTGAACCGAAACCGATTCATTCTGAAACTGAGTTTTTATGCTGAGCATGGCGCATTCGCTCCGCTTCCGTCTCTAGCTAGATTGCTGTCGCTGTTTTTTTATTCCAGCCTCTTAAAATGCATACAATTTCGTTTCAGTATAGGCGAGCTCTTTGAGCCTAGTTGTTTGTGGCTCCATATTTCAACAATGAAAGAAATGTTTATGTTGTCTTTAGACGGCTGCAACTATTTTTATGCATTAGCTTCTAAATATCTATATCTATATCTATAACAACAAAACAATTCTTTCGAAAACAAAACACAAACTTGTCTAGTATTTTCGCGCATTCAGCTGCAGAAAAATTATCATTAAAGACATAAAGTAACAAATTTAGAACTAGTATTTCACGAAGACCTTGTTTGAAATGTTTAGGTTTTAACATTTTAAAATTCTTTGCTGAATTTATATGATTATTTGAAATTTATTAAACATAAATTTCAATTTTTGGTCATTGTGAAATATTAGTTCTAAATTTCTTACTTTATATCTATCTATAGATATCTATATCTATATCTATCTATAGATATCTATATCTATATCTATCTATCTATCTATCTATCTATATCTATCTATCTATCTAGTATATATTGTGTGTAATTAATTAATTTAAATTTTTATCTTATTTTTAATTTATATATGAAAAAAATATTTTTATTTTTTTAATGTTAGAGTAGTAGTCTTTTTTTTTATTTATTTATTTATTTATTTTTGCATTGTGGTTTCCAAGATAGAAGGGCTTTTCGTTTCCAGGGCTATTGATTTCCATTCATCTTCCACTGCCTTCCAGATTCCATCAATCGTAGTGAATTTGCGCTTAGGAAGAACTCTTTGCAAGAGTCATTAGACAGAGTAGTTCATAAATGAAATACCAGAGGACTTCGCAAGAGTACGCTGAAAAGGTATATCAGTCTGAGTCAGTCTTACTTCAAGGAACGCAGTGATACTTTTCAAAACATGACTTGTTGCTTTGTCTTGACGACTTTTCTGTCTTTGAAAGTCAGGATAAAAAAATGGATTTTCTTCTGCAAATATTGGACATAAACATAATCTGTTGATGGAGCTGGTCTGAAATATTTCCCCCCACACTTCGTATTTTTAATTTCTGTTTGCAAAAGAATCCTGCGACAGTCATAAACCATTTACCGAAACTTTCTTTGCATTGATGGAAACAGAGAGTACACTGTTATTCTCATCTCTTCGGATATGTAGAGCTGCTTTTTGTTACAGTTATCATAAATAAACTTATGCTTCATTTAGGATCACAAAATATGTCTATTTATCTCCTACTAAATAGTTCTCATACAGAGTTCTACAAATTGTTCTGCGTTTAGCCACATGCCTCGAAAAAAAAAGCTAGTGAATGTTTTTTTTTTTTTTTTTTTTTTTTTTTTAACGTTTTTGTAAATCTTGGTTTGTTAATCGTTTTTTGTTTATACAGTTCTATTTAAAGAGACTGCAACTGATTTCTGTATTGGTGGATCCTTCTCATGTTACCAATTATTTAACTTCACAGATTCACTAGAAAAAGGACGTATCTATTTCTGGTATTGATTTGGAGTCTTCTTTTTATGTAGAAGTAATGATTGAGAATTTTCCCATTCCGATTAAAAATGTTGCTTATTTTGCCCTTAGAAATTTTAATACTACGCATTTCACAACGTTTTGAAGTATAGAATAGGGATATTTGTCTTTGAAAAGCGCGGAAACATATTCTTCAATCTACAGCGTGTATATTATGCGATATTTTGAAACAAGAATAAATTAAAAAGTAGCAGACGATATTTCACATTTTAAATAGTAAAGCTCTTGCCAGAAATTTTAATTAGGAGACATTTATTTATTTTTTAAATTCTTAATCGAAATAGTTAAAATAGGTAAACAGCCTCCGTATATATAGAGATGGAAGCAAATAACTTATTTTCAAAGTACATTAGGTTTCCCAAATCCAAAAAATATTATTTACGTCTCCAAAAAAGTCAATCTAGACAGCAAGAAAAATGACAACAGCAATAACAAAAGTATAAAAACTGAAACTAGATTTTATTTGTTGTTCCTTGTTTGAACTTTTTATTTTATTTTGTTTTGCTGCTTTTGTATACGTATAACTTTACCCTGGGTAAGAAAGACCCAAAAGTTACTATCTTTTTCTCGCTCTTTTTTTTCTGGGATATATAACCATGTTCAGAGTGGTGAGTTCTTAATTCAAAAAAAGATTTCTTTATGATTAGCATCAGATTGAAAATTACTCATTCGATATCTCTTCAAATACACAATTTATGACTTTTATTATTTGTTAGTCTTTCATATGCCAAAGTTCTTTCTAATCTCTTCATATACAAAGTGAAGTTTGTAAGTGAAGCACATATGAATTTATATTGCCTAATGTTTTGTTACTTAAAAGTTTCGGGATATTAATGGAATAGCTTAGTGTGTTTTAGTGTGGAGAAATACGCAAATCTGAATTCTAACGTTAATTTGCAAAATCCCCTTAACGCACCATTTCAGCTGCATAATTTTCCCAGTCCCAAAATTAATAATTGCTTATAATAAATCTTTCTAAATTGTAAATGAAAGGAGAAAGGTTCCCCGCACTAATATATTTTCAATCGTTATATAGGCTGAATAAGCCAATAAACTAATATAGTTTTACATACAGAATTTTCTTTCAGACATATATTTCACTTTTTTTATGACATACAGTTTAATTACTTAATTATCAATCATTAAAACCTTTTTCTATGTTTTTAGCTATATTTTGGAAACCATTATACTGTTTTATTAATTCGAGGAAAATTCTCAAATCCTAGTGCTCTCAAATCGTGTTGATTTTTTATGTAATTATTTGCTAAACGTTCATTTGTAGGGAAGCTTCCACGGAACTTAATCTAAGCTTAAAATATCTACAAACAGTCTGTGGCGATTTACTGTGTAGTGCTTCAAAAGCACTCTTCACCCTTTGCTTTTTACCGATTAAATTACAGTCATTAAAAATAGACTGTATTATGTGCTTCCTATGAGGCTGTTGCAGAATTAATTATGAAAAATTTCTCGATTAATGGTAATATCTTAGTTCTATAGTTCTACATTTTTCGTCTGTTTATTACTCTCTTCTAGGGGCGTTGTTCAGCGATGAAACCAGAGGATGTAGCAGAAGAAGATGGAGAAAAAGAAGAACCTGATGAAGGCGAGGGTGAAGAGGAAGATGAAGATGAGAATGAAGAAGAGAAAGAGGAACCTGAAATCTTAGAAGCTATCAAAGAAACCGAAGTTCCAGCCCTCAGAAGCATATCGGAAGACAAAGGTAATTTTAAAAAAATGTTTTCTCTTTGAATTCAATACAAGTAGTATCCAATTTGAAGCCCACATCATACCATTCACTCATTCAGTCCAATAATATATATATAATATTAAACATAATTATATCAAAGTTTTATTATTTTTCTGTCTTGAACGCTTATCTATTAGCTCTAAACTAATATATATATATATATATATATATCCTTGATAAGTTCTATTTGAAGCCTTGAACAGAGAAGATTGATCATGTTTTTTATATGTACAATATTTCTTATTTATGTAAATTGAATAGGTTTTTTCGCGTACAATTTTTTATTTTGTTGTACAAGTTTTCTATTGTATGTACAATGGATAGGTTGTTTTCACGTGCATATATTGATTTCACTTTAATTTAGATGATTTGACGTTGTTTTACATGTAATATCAGGAATTAGGAAGTTCAGATGTTCTTTACGACTCTAGCTAGTTAACCTCTCCTTTTCTTATAAATCTATCTATCTATATATGTGTAATGATTTTAAAATGGGTAGATGAAGGCACTGGAACTTTAAACAGCTTACGATACTGCGTAGATGACCGAGAAGACCGTAGTGGCTTGAAGGTGGCAGAGTGGAAAGCATGGTGACGCAATTTAGCACAACGTATCTTGAAAAATCACAATCATTATTATTATTATTATTATTATTATTATTATTTACGTATATCAAATCATCCTTTTTTCAGACAAGATTTTTCTTAATTATATTTGAATAAAAAAGTTGCATTTTGAAGTATGACGTCATCTTAAGCATGTAAGCGGCAGCAGTATGGATGAAAAGCGTCTTGCCAGTAGGAGAGCTTATGCAAAAAAAGAGAGTCATAGTACTTCGGAGGAAAAAGGTTGGGGGTCGGAAAAGTTTCAGTTCAGAGTTTTGGTTTACAATTAATTTGATTGGACAAGAGGTATCTGCCTTAAAACGTTAGGTAAGATAGAAAAATTTGGAACTTGTGAGAAGAGATGAATTTAGGGGCAGATCATCAAATTTAGAATGTTAATTTTGAGGTCGCCGATTATTTTTTTTGAAACAGCTATCATATTTTGTTATATCTTACATATATATGTGTGGGGGGTGGGTGTGCAAGATATAAAATATGAAAGACAAGTACTAACAAAATTATTAACTTAATTGACTACAGACCTTTTAATTTCTGATTTTAATTTAAAATATATCTCCCTTTAAAATTCCGTACTGCACCATTTGGATCATTGTTTTATCTGCAACGCCATGAGCTTTTATCCAATCACTATTTAAAATTTAAATGAAGGAACACCTAGCTTATAAAACTCCAGTTGCAAAATATAATACGCATCACTCTTCACCCGTTGTCGCTTCATACACATGCAACTAACCGCTCGGGATCTTTATAACGATGTAATCTGTTTATATAAAATTATGTGGTGCTGATTGCATTCATTGTGCTGTGCCAACAAAAAAGCCGTATCTTAGTAATAAAGATGTGTTGTGATTGTCCAAGATTTTTTTTTTTTTTTTTTTTTTTTCAAAATTCTATCCAGTAATCTACGCAACCGTTTCAAGCTATATTTGCTATCATCATATTCAAGCTATATCTGCTATTATTATCATAAAAGAATATAGTGTGGAACGATAATTCATTCATTCCTGGCTTAAAATGACTGTATAACTAAGACGGGTTGAATTACTTGTATTACCTAAATATTTAACAAATATGGATTACTCTTAGTGATTCTGTTTCCTTGATTCTGTTTTTTTCCCTTTTTTTAAAACAAATGGGATATCTTGTTCTTATAATGTGTATTAAAAAGTGAAAAAATGATTGTTAAACAATAAAAGCACTGCAAATCCACAGCAAACCAACAATTTTCATTTATTAATAATGTTAAATAGTTTTAATAATGTTAGTTATGTTATTAATAATGCTGATTTGTGCTACTAATTATGTTAGTTTACTTATTAATAAAGTTTATTTTCTTATATTTTCTATATAGCAACGCCTTTATTCGCAATTTTTTGAAAAACTTTTGTATCATATTAGAAACATTCCGAAGTGATAATTATGTTTTCGAGAAGAAAATGTTACATATCTTGAATAATGCTTGTTTTCTGTCTGGCTATTTAAAGCGAAAATGCTTACCCATTATTAAAAGAACTTGCAATCTAAAAAAACTTTAGATAGCAGTTCATAACTTCAAAATAGAGTTTTTTTAAAAAAATTTAAGCTATATAGGTCATACCAGTATTTATATTCTACTTTTAAATAAAATTTAGACCATTTGTAGGTTGTTAGAAACCTATTTGAAATGTCTTCTAAAATATTGTTAAGGAGACCAGATAAAATGATTTTGTATTATTTAGTTGCGCAACATATTTTTTGTAATGTTAAAGATAAAAGAAAGATATTATCCATCATGGACTTGCAACAATAATTATTCATCGCTGGCGTGATCTTATCAAAATTCAAAACAATAACGAATCGTCCTCTCCTGAGGTGTTAAACATTTTCATGTTGTTTTTCTCAAGCGTAAAATTCAAAAGGCATCCATTTTGATTTTTTTTTTAAATCCATTTCTAGATGTACAATAAATTTGAGTTTTTGCTTTCAGTCAGAATTTCCTAATAAACATGCATTTTGTGACAATTTTCTTTCATTATAATTAGGTCATAATCAATCTGAAAATTCTGCGTATCGGATTATTAAAAAGGCATAAATGCATGACATATAAATAAAGCCCAACATCTGAAAGTTTTGGAGGGTGGTACGGAAAATAATAATAATAATAATAATAATAATTTTTTTTTTAGATTATAAGAACATGCTCTTTCATGCATGCTGTCAACTTTGATTAAATGAGCTATAATATCTTTCTATCCCTGAGAAACATTTGAAGCAATGTTCAGGCTTCAGGTTGTAAGGAATTTCCCCCTTTCTTACCACCTGTCTTTGTGGTTAAATCAAAAGCTCATCTGGCTAGCAGTCGGGAAGTCTAAAGTTCAAATTTCGGCGACAGCACTCTTTTCAGTACTTCCCGGCTTCGAAAATTTCTAAATCATTTCACATATGACGCCCAGACTTAAATGTGGTGGACGGAAATTCCTCACAAGCGATATTGGCAACTGTGTCCCTCCACAGTCGCCCCCTTAGGTGGGAAAAATGTAAAGAATCTTCCGCTTCGTTATCCCTTGCCTTCATGGTGTAAATGCAAAATTCTCCGGTTAGCAAAATGGAAGTCGAATATAGAATCCATTGCTAATTTATCAAGTTCCCTAACTTTAAAAACTCTAAATGATTTTACAGGTGGTGCCCGAACTAAAATGTGGGGATGATAATTTATCACCTGGATTTGGCGACTGAACCTTCTTTCCCCAGTCATCCTTGAAATGGCGGTAAAATTAAATAAATGTATTCTTTTTTATCACATGCCTTCGTGGTGCAATTGTAAGCACGTTAAATTAGCAATCAGGAGGACCAGAGTTTGCACCCTGGCGAGGGCATTGCTTATTTTTCATGGCTCCACTTTTAAAATAAATCTAATTAGTGCACCAGGTAACATCTTCAAAAAGACTATTTGTAATTACTCATGTATTGAAGAGGCTATAAGGATTTTCAAGGAAAATAATCATAAAAAGTCAGCCACGTCAGAAACAAAACCAGAAATCTTCCACGTACTAGCTGGCTGTGTTAATCACTACACCATATATGGGAAAACAATGAAAGAATGCTAGAATTTCTTATGTTTTCATTTTATTCATCACTATTTCGCATGAAGGCCAGCTATTTCGCTTGGAAAATCAGACTTCCAAGTAACCTCGGATGAGAAACGTTAAACTAAATTAAATATTCTATAAGGAATTATTGCATTTTCCCTTGAATAGTCTTGCAGTAAAAGTAGTTAGCCTATACAGGTATCAAGTGGAAGAATCCGTTATCGGGGAGGGGGGTCTTAGTGAGGGCAGAGTTGATTTTTCACGTTTTCTGGTACGAAATGTCTAATAATATCTACAACTCAAGAACGAATATTTTTATTTATTTTCTTTGTTTATTACATTGAAATAACGGCCAAAATTAACGAAAATGTCTTATTTTACAGGCGTTGGTAAACTTCAACCATGGATAGTGAATTTAAGTTCTAAATTAGCTACTGAAATGGCCCTTCTCATAGTAAAATCTAATCTTTGGCCAGGATCCTTTACCTTCTACGACGGCAAGTAAGTGTTGCTGCCAAAATTATGTGATCAGACATTAGCTGCTTACTTACTATTTAAAGAAATAAACTCATCCTTTCCTCAAGGGAACTTCAATATATTTAAAAACAGCTTCTGGTTTTTCTCATACACTTAAATTGAACTTGGAAAACCGTTCAAATTCTCATTCTTTTTAACATATTAATGTCCAAGTTCAAGAAACATTAATCATTAGCTGTTCAATTTTTCAGGCAATATGAAAATCTGTATATAGGATACGGCTACAAATTTTCCGTCTATCATTACGCCCCAATGCTGCCTGTAACGACCGAGGTTGAATACAAAGCCGGTTCTGAAATCTTAGAACCGGAAGATGAAGAGGAACCTGAACCTGAACCTGAAGAGATAGAAGAAGAAAGAGAAGACCGTAAGTTTATTATTATTAACTGTTATTAAGGTAGTCGTTTTACTTCGGAAATAAAAGGCAAGAGTCGCAGAACTGTCACAGAGTAAGAAGTGAAAGTTCGAGAAACTTTCGGAGTCTAGGGTTATGTTAACAATTTTGCAATCAAGGATTTATATATTTCTGGGGATGTGATACCATTAAGAAAGAAGTACATAGATTGTTAGTAAACCAAACAAAAACTTAACTGATAAAAATGTATAATATATTTTTTATTAAAATTTGCGCTTATAAACCAATAAATTTCCGGAAACGTATTCAGCAATATTATGTTGAAAGAAGATCGCCATTGAACTGAAGAAGTTCTAAATATCGTAACTATATGGTATATAATTTGTATATTAAATAATGCCTTTTTAAAAAAGATCATTCAGTACCTACATAGTTTATCGGCATTCACACGCAAAAGAAGGAAACTTTTACCTCGAATTTCTCGTTTTACATAAATTTTTTATTGCTATTTTTTGCTCAGCTTCCGAATTCATGACAGCATATGTTCACCGGATCGAAGCAAATAATTCATTGCATGAAAAATTCTGTCTATAAACAGACGATTTAGGAGAAGCAAGTTGAGATGTCGAAGTACAAAATGTCAGTTATTTCTTGGTAGACTTTATTGGAATTTGCTTCTAAAAGAAATAGTCATAAAACTTTGGACTCAATGCAAAAGTATTTGGTATTATATACAGCCAGGTTTTGCTAGTTTCGATAAGCATACAAAGGAGACCAAGGAAAATACACGCCGAACCAACTATAACCTATGCACTTAAACTACAGAATCTTTCCAATACCGTAATTTCCATTTGGTTCTCTAATAACTGGTTCTTCATCTCAGTTGCCACTAACATAGGCATGCTAAATCTAGCATTGCATTTTAATGCAGCGAAATGTAATCGTATCTTTTATAGCTAATAACAGAGAGCATCTTCCAGTAGTGCTAAGAAAGAAAAAAATTAAAAATGAAACAAATCCTGAATTTTATCAAATCCACTTCTTGAAATTTCTCGAATTTTTCGAATCTCGAATCTTACGAATAACAGCGCTAAGAGAAGCGAAAAAAAAAAAAAAAAACTTTTTCTTACGAAAATTAAATAAAATAAATTTAATAATAATTTTAAAAAACACAACTGAATTTATTTAGAAGACAGAAATTAAATTAAATTAGTGAAGAATGTAGCTAAAACGTTTGAATTATGAAGTTATTTTATCATAATTTCGCAAAACATATTTGGGAACAGTTCAAAACTCATCATTTTTGGCTGAAAGGCTCAAACAGGTAAACAATCGCAATCATGTGCTTCGCAGAGTTTGCATATTATGGTTATGAACTGCTAGAAACAGCAGTGATTTAGTATTAGAAATAGGCTATCTATATCCAGAATCATGGAGAGGATTCAAAAGTTAGTTTCCAGAAGGCTCGCAGTGATTGCATGAAAATTCCAGCAGATTTTTCTCAAAGGCATATTGAAACTGTTTGGCACTCAGAATACCACGCAACGATTCTGATGATTCAAATATCATTGAAATAGCACCTTTTTTTAATGAATACTTCTATTGGATGACAAGAAAGCTAATATTCCCAAAGCGTTAAGTTAAAACATTTACCGTATATACCCGCGTATAAGTCGATACCGCGTATAAGTCGACCCCCCCCCACACTTCGACATAAAAAATTCGTAGAAAATAAGAAACCCGCGTATAAGTTGACCCCCACTTCCGAAATCGATCGAGAAACTTCGAAAAAATTTTTTTAAGTACTACATTTATTCAAAATCATCTGAGAAAAAAAAAAAAAAAAAAAGTAAATATACGATAAAAAATACCTTGGTAAATAAACAAAATCAAAATCCTTCTTCTAAAATTCTAGAATTTGTTCCAGAAAAGATTCGCGTACGTAAAATCTATCTGCATTTCCCCTTTTTAAACGTTAAAAGAAATATTCCAAACTGTTCAGTTATTGCGTGGGCTATTTTTTTAAATTTTGACGTGTACGCCTGTTAACAAAAGTATTTCATGAATGAACAATAACTATTATAAAGACTTATACGTACGTTTTATCGAAACTTACTCTAGTTAAAGTATGAAACTCTGTGATTAGTTCGTCACATAATTTAAGTCATGAAATTACTTCAAGTAAGTGACTTATTTGATAAGTCGTCCAATTTGAGTGCGGGAAGAAAACAACTGCATTATATAAAGAAATTTTTGAACTTCCGAGTCTTTTAATTTTTTATGGCTCCGCGTATAAGTCGACCCCCCCCCTTTGAAGTCTTTTTTTTGTCCAAAATATCTCGACTTATACGCAGGTATATACGGTAACTGTTTTTCAGGCTTATATTAGAATGACTCAAAGAATAAAAAGAAAGAAAAAAAAAAAAAAAAAAAAAAAAAAGGGAGGAAAATGTTCGAGAACACGTATCTTTGAATCTTCTGGTTCTACTTTCTTTGAATACACACCTTTTTGTTGTTATCAATCTAACTGACTGATGAGTCTTTCTGAGTGGAAACACATAAAAAGATATTGGAAGTGCAAGATGCATACCAATTTTCTATTCAGCTCATGGTTCAGCAGCTGATTAACATAAATTAATGCAAACATAATGCTAGACCGGCTGTAAACAGTTACAAAGGAGTATTTTGTTTCATTTTTATTCTTTTCCCCCTTCATTTAGATACAAGAGAAGATGAGGAAGAAGACACCAAAGAAAACGCGGAAGATGAAGAAGAACCTAAGGAAGGAGACACCAAAGAAAACGCGGAAGATGAAGAAGAACCTAAGGAAGCTGAAGATGAAGCACAGGAAGAAGGAGAAGAGAAAGATAATTAACCTCAAGCGGTTAACTTACATTGTTAAAGAACACTTTTATAGCATTGTGTCTTTGTGGAATAGGGACATTCCCTGTTGACAGGAAAGTCTTCTTGAGAGTCTAGCGCTAAGAAAAAGATGTATGAGATTTCCTGATATAGTTAAACCGCGATATCCGCGACGATGAGCACAGACACATTATGAAGATTGAGATGAATTCTGTAGCAGGGATTTGTTTTTCCGTTCTTATTTTTTCACCGTTGATTTTCATTGCAACTAATTTAAGATAATATGCTGATCACCATTTGTAATTAACTGCTTGATTACATTGTGTTTAATTTTGAGCATTTATTTATTTATTCAGATATTGGTGAAAATATGAAGGTTTTCGGATTTTTTGTTGTATACACATAATTTTATAATAAAGTATAATAAATAACTATTACGCTGTAATAATTGTTACTATAATTATTTAATTTTTATATTTTCTTGTATAATTTTCATTATTATGTTGTCACTACAATGAATTTTAATATAATAATTATTATAATTGATTATACTAATTTTACGATGATAAATAATTATTATACTTGTATTATAATTAATAATTATTATATCTTTTCTATATTTGAGCTAAACTATATGTTCGTTAAAACACACTGAAAAAAAGAAATTTCTTAACATTTAGTTACAAAAATTATACGATAATAAATGATAATTATGGCTATTTCATTTATTATAATAATTATACTATAATAAATAATTGTTATATTTCTTTAATTTTTGACCTAAAATCTCTATGCATTATTATATATATCTAGGGAGAAAAGGGTAATTTATTTTTTAAGAAAAAATTCTTTTAAAAAAGATCACAAAATTGGCAAATGCCATTTTAAATCAACTATAATCAGGGAATATCCCGCTCAGATGGGGTGGAAACCTATTGACTTTTCTTTTTTAAATTCAGAAAGGATTCTGCCTCTAAAAAGTGCAGTTCCATTACATTTAGTGATTAGTGATCTTATTCTTAAAAATAAGCAATGAAATATGCACTATTTACACAAAATTGATATATTATGAAAAGAAAATTTTCGCCATTTTTAATTTCCAGGATTCCACATCGTTGCGAATGCTCGCGTTTATTCCTGCGAATGTCAGAAAAAGGTTGAGAAAGACAACCGACGATAGGATCACTCGATGACACGAGGACTCTATTGGCAATAAATTTTCTTTTTCCGTCGAAGAGCGAACTCTCATGTGATTCCCTTCTGGACGATTCTAAGTGTTTTGGCAGAATACAACCTAAAGTTGCGTTTGCCACGGCAGAACTACATCATCTGCTCGGTTAAAACTGCTATGCAGCTTCTGTAAACAGCCTTCACATTCTTTGCCTTAATTAAGTTATCCACTCCATGCCGCCGCATTAAAGTAAATCAGATTACTATTTGGATTTCCTAGTGTATGCAAAAATTACACTTAGCGAAAATTAGTGAGCAAAAGCGTTAAATTTTAAGAAGCAGTGTTGGGTATTAATGCTAAAGATTGCAGTGGCTCCGGTAATTTTGCAAAATACGATAGCAGTAAATTTTGCGGCGTTAACTGACTTTTCCTTTCACAAAGAAACTCTTTATAGCATGCAAATTCTTGCTTCGTATGACTTACTTTTAATGACAGTAAAATTTCTTAGGAAATTAATGTAAATCCTCTGCAATCACTTCGTAGCCTTATAAACTAAGTCTATGAAATACTGTTATGGAAAATAAATAACATTATTATTAATCGTCTGAATTTCGATAAATTATTAATGAAGTTCTTTATAATAGAATATCAATATATTTTAGTACTAAACAAATACATTAGTATTAACGTATTTTAGTTCTGTATAATAATATTAAGAAGTCCATTTTGTTTAATACGATATCAATATATTTTAGTTCTGTATAATAATATTAAGAAGTCCTTTTTGTTTAACACGATATCAATATATTTTTGTTTTGATTAATACCATATTAATGAAACGGAAATGCTTATTGCTTGCTTCGAGTTATTAAGTAATTTTTCTTACGTCTTCCTTTTGATTTCAAAATGCAAGCTGCTTTCGCTTTATAGAAATATACTGGTTCTGTGAAACTTAATGTATGTCAAAATAGTGTTAAACAACGAAACGATGACCATTAACTCGCACAAAAATCTTTTCATCCTAAGCTCTTCACCGTCCTGTGGGTAAAAAGAAAGAAATTATGTTCAATAACACCAGAAACTTAAATAAAACTAACACCAGAAATGATACTATAAATAACCAGCAGAAATACGCAGTAATACCATGTATAGCATGATTTCATTTGCTAAAATGGGTCCAACAGTGAGTGAGAGAATAAGACAGTTAAAACACTGGTACTTAGACTAGAATTGGAAAATCGGTCAAAGCGCAGACTGCATCGGTGTTTCAGCAGATGTTTCTAAGTATAACTTCAACACGAGCCAGTCTCCCTTTGAAGTTCTTTTAGGAAAGCATCACTTCCATTAGGTAGATATTCCTCGTTTGCTTTGCCTGGAGCAATAAAGTGCCTGACCTTCTAAAATTGGAAACATAACTGAGCACATTAAAAAACTTCTTAGAAATGATCTGAAATTAATATTTAGAAATTCAGTACAATTAAAAAAATGTATCCGTAGCACTCTTTGACATATTAGAACCAGTCAAAACCTTACTTGAATTAACATTTGAGTTTCATTTAATTCCTTCGGCGGCGGTCTGTGTAGGCCATTCTTAAATCTGATACTGCTAGGATATAAATAGATGGAAAGGATTATTGATTGTACATGTCAGGTCATGTAAAATTGACATTCCTTTACCCCAGAAAGTATTTTCATACATATCGGCACAAAATAGTACTAAAATAAATGTATTATATAAAATAGAGTTATTTAGGTGCCGATGGTTTCATAAATCTTGACAAAATCTTCTGACGACTCAATTAATAAATACGAGTACTTAGTGCGAAAGAAGAACTATGTTACATTATTTGAGTATGGAAAAGTCAGCGAGGGCTACACGCTCTAGGATGTGCTTTCGTGAGGAACTTTCTGAGGGAAACTGGCTCCTATTCACACTATAAGTGGGGAAAACTACGAAAATCAAGCATGCAGTCAGCCTGTTCGCCTGGGATCGAGCCCGGGTCGAATTCCCACCATTCAGCAGTCTTTAACCACTACTACTTCCGTCGAGATAAAGAATATCAAACTGCGTTTTCGCTTTCTGTGTACCAAAGTATGAAACAGTGACAGCCAGTGTGAACAACTGCATTGGCTGAAGCTGCGGTTTTTGAAGATGAGTAATGGGGTTTTAAAACATTTAACATAAATTACTTTGCTTTGATGTATAATTTCTTTAAAGCTAGTTCTGATATATAGGCAGAGTAATATTTAGTTTATTGGTATATTCTGAATTACTAACAGTTTCAAATGAATATTCATTACAAATTTATATGTATAAAACAAAATAAGGAACTGCGTATACCCCATTTCTTTTCAGATAACATTAATTACATGTAACCATTTAGGGGTTGCAATTAAAGATCAAGTTTTTCTTACTAGCAGTCTGCTTACTCAAGAGATTAAATAAACTAGTAAGAACTTGAATTTTTATTTGCATCAAAATACTGCCAGCCTTATTTTTACCGCACTGATGCATTTCTACTTATAGCACCGTAAATCAAGCCGATCAATTATGAATGTAAAACAAGAAAATACGGTTGCCTGATCCAAAAATATATTTTTAAAATTATCTCATGGTAATATAAAACTATCCCAACTGAAATGATATAAAACATTCATTATCATACTTTTAATATAATAAATATTTATACCCATTCCTGGAATGTGATCACTATTTATGCAGCACCACTGCATTGTTATTACAGAAGAAATGCTATCATTTTCCTGACCCGAAGAATGACATGGCTAAGGCTCAACCAAGGCCATCTTGAAGAAATCATCTTGGTCTTTTATCAAGATGGCCTTGGGTCTGCTGAGACAAGCTGAGTATTATCTGGTAATAAAAGCTGCTTTGCTCCAAGAAGAACGGTAAGTCCTTTATAATGAATTTTTATTCGCTCAAGGAGAGACGATTTCGTATTTTTAATACATTTTCCCTTATTCCAGTTCAATTTTAAACCAGTCTGTATCTAAGTTATTTCACAAATTCATTGAATTACGTTACTATGAAGCGGTGAGTTATTTTATAGCTTATTTAGTAAAGACTTTGAATAATAAGTAGATGTAGATAACCTTTCACAGATCTTATCAGCTAACCTCACAAATAAGCGCTTGCATACCTTTTATATCTTTCAAGATATCATGCAAAACAATAAGATTTATAAAGCACTGAATAACAATATTTTATCATTGCTTTGAATCCGTTACGCTAAATAACGGGAAACTAGAAAATATTTCCAAAGCTTTTGAAGTCTCTGAATTTTTTTTTAAACATCGTTGTCATCCTTCAATATTTGCAAATTACTTCTGTAAAATTAGCAGAAGGTAATTTTTCATTTATTTTTCTTTCTTATATTTTTTAAGCTAAATTTCACAAATGAATATTACGAAAGTTTTTTTTTAAGTTATATAGTGGACTCGCTCTTTTTATGAATCTCCAGTCTACGAGTTATAGCAATAATCCTGAACAGTTTATAATTTTCTTAAAGCTATTCTCATTTTGAGATTCTGATTTTACGAACTTTTTCTAGCGATCGTGCCAGTTTAGAAAAATCGAGAGTCCACTATATAAAAAATTCAAAATTTTCACTTTAAACTATAGAAGACTCACAAATAATAAATAGTAGCTCAGAAATTGAATACTGAACAGTTGTATTTAAATACAAACCTTTTTTTTTTTTTTTCCTGATGAAAAGAAGGTTCATAATTTTTAGTTTCGGTTTTATTTTCAAGTTCTAGATTCTAAGCAGTTTTTGACTTAAACCTTTCACTCTTCTGGGACAACGAATGATGTATCGAATTAGGTAACCAAATAACTTCGGATCATTCGGGGTATTCCAACTTCAAGTGTTTCAGCGAAATATCTTCGACTTAAAATATAATCGTTATTCTACTCAGTTGCTTCATTCACAACTATTTCAAAATCATTACGGTAGTTTCTCTCTTTTCTTTATTAATTAACTTAACATCGATACTTTTTAAAGAAAAGTTATTTAGCCTTCACACGTTATATGTGTACTGTTCTTACATGTGCTATTATTAAATTCTTTAACGGCTACATACGCAGAGTTATTATAGCTTTTCAACAAGCTACCGTATAACAACTACTAAACCTTCAACACAGAAACAAGATTAAAATTGAATTAAAATTTATTACTCAGTCCTGGCTTTGCAATTGAAATTTTAACTGAAACTAAAACTGATGATTTTCCTTATTCAAAATGTTTTACCATAAGGCTTTTTAATTAAGTATCTAAGCTATGAATGATTTGAAAACAAGTTTCGAAGCTCAAAACTACCCATCTGGTGGATTATTTTGCATCTAAACTGATAAAGTACTTACCAAAGGCACAGCAACTAAGTTTTAGTCCATGGATGGCCAAGCTGCAGCTCTCGAGGGTCTGGCATCTTAAATGAGACTTACTTGCAACAAATAGTAGTTAAACTTACAAACAAAAAATAGTAGTTAAACAAAATATAATAGCATTTTGAAATAGATATCATGCAATGATACATTTCTATATTAATTATTAATTTAATTTCTTAAATTATTGTAAGCCAAAAGGGGCATTAGTACCGAATGCTATGTTAGTCTCGAAGCGGCATTTTGCGTTAAATCACTATAAACGGCTACATTACTTTTCAAATTATTGCCACCAAATATTATTGCCCTGTATTACATTTAGTAAAGTATCTTGAATATATAAACGTTTTTTGCACTCAGAAAAAACAACAGTACCTAGAGCCATAAAATTTTGAATAATGTAATCCTCCACCCGAACCTAAAAGCATCTAAAAACTCGAATTTTGAATTTTGTATTTTATATTTCGTATTTTGAAAAACTCTAATAAATTTTTAACAAACTCAACGATTTGAAAGAGACCAGTGGCAACACTTTACGGATTAAAATATTGTTATCTCCAGCATGCGAGACTGTCTATCGAAAATTCGAAAGATATGCTGTTTTTAAATATTTTGTGATTTTGCTGTTGAAACGAATTTTATGTGGCGTAAGCGCCAAGAACGTGATATTTAATAAATAAGATAAAGGTGCAAAACGTTAATAATAAAAATGACAAAAATTTTTTTGTAATTTCATCTTAATAAGGAAACTGAATTTTGATATGATGAGCTGAAAAATGTCTGGAAAAAATGTATGCCAACACTTAATGCTAAATAAGGAATTCTAAACATATACTGCTTTTAAAATTTTCGTAGTTTTACAGCTGAATTGTATATGGCGTAAGTGCGCAGAAAATGATACTTAATAATAAAGCTAAAAAGACAAAAAAAGTGCTAGTGAGGATAACAGCAGACTGGTAGACTCACTACAAGCTCAGCGAGAGCATAAAAAAACCTTAATAAACTGTTTTGGGTGATGGTTAAGATTTGAAACCTTTCATATTTTTCTTTTCGTTTTTTATTACGTGTATAATACTTTAACCGTTTTCAAACTGTGCATCGCGCTGTTACTGTCAGAGTAACCAAAAAAAAAAAAAAAAAAAAAAAAAAAAAAAAAAAAATTGCAAAAAAATTCCATTTCTGCTAGTTACTATCATTGTCATATTTCTTTTAGAGCAGATAATGGTCACCAGGGCAGCATGAAACTTACAAATTTCGAAGGTAAATTAAAAGTAATCTTTTCTTGGGTTAACTTTATTTCAGGCAGTTTCTACTTATATTTTTCTGTGTAACCGCGTCTCTTCACAACAAGAGTAACGACCCAATGTCTTGGATGATTGCAATTCCTTGTAGCGTAGTACTATTATTCACTCCTTGAATAGCTCGAAAAATTGCTAAAGAAACCTCTTTCAAGAAGAAAATATAGCGCTTTTAAAGCAGTTTCGGAAGAAATTTGGAAATGTGAGGGATTTTATGGTTGGTGACGTAAACCTTCTTGCTCTACTTGACTTCCGGAGTAATGGCGTTAAACACCACGGTGCCTGCGCCAAATGAGTTACACCTTCTGGAACTTAAATTAAAAGCTGCTAATTAAATTAAGGGCGTAACTTATGAGAGAAAGATATAATAACATATTTTTCGTAAATTAATTAGTATGCTCAGACAATATTTTATAATTCAAAGTAAAAAAAAATATCATTTGAAATTAAAGAACAATGAATAAAAATAAAAATCTCAAAGCTTCCAGATTTTACGTTGCGCTCAGGGACATTTTTTAACGTTTCGTGTGTTATCTTTATTTATTAAATATCACGTTCATCGCACTTAAACCATAAAATTTAGTTCAACAGCAATATCGCAAAATAATTTTAAAATGAGCATATCTTTAGAATTTCCAATACACAGTCTCGCGCCTGGAGATAATTTTTTTTTTTCCCGTACAGTGTTCTATTGCTCGCTTTCAAATCTTGAGTTCAAAATCTCATAAATGCTTTACAAAATATAAAATAGATAATAAAACAAATTCGAAATTCCAAATTTGGGTTTCTAGATGCCTATATTCGGACGAAGATTATGTTATTCAAAATTTGATGGCTCTAGGTAACTTTTTTTTATCACACTGCGAGAAACATACATACGTTTATGCAGATTCTTCATTATTTAACTTCTTTAAATATAACATAGAGCGATAATATTTGGTGGCAACAGTGTGAAAAGTGAATCAACGCAGGAATCGACACAACATGCCAAAACGAAATTAATAGCCCTTCTGAGCTAATGCTCCTTTGGGATAAAGGGCAAGAGAAAATGAGGAAGATTTTGCAGAATTTATCGGTTACTGAGAAGTTACGGTTACTACATAAATACAAGCATTTGGATAATGGCCGCTTTGAAGCAAAATGATACGATATGGTCACAGAGTCAGCACAGAATTCACTGTAATAAAACTCAACATTTACAACAGGCCAACCAGCGGCCGAGCGGTAAAGTCGCTGAACACTGGTAGTTGCGTTCGAGGTTCGAATCCCGCGAACGGGTTGGCTGCATGGGTGTTTTCGTGGTTTTTTTCTCATGTGTAACGTATATACGAGCCAGTTTCCCGTAGAAAGTCATCCACGAAGGCATCCCTCCCCTTAGGCAGATAGTCCTAGTGTGCTTTGCCATAATTAAATAAACTGAACCAAAACCAACATTCACAACATGTTTTATGTTAAAGTATTGCGAAAAAATTTTTTGTTGACACTGATCACTCGTATATAGAATTAATAACGGTTTCTGCTTTGACGACGATAAATGTCATATCGTGCTCCTTCCGTTTATGCAATTAACGTAGGCATTGTTTTTCTATTGTCTTTAGAATTTTCATTTCATACACAGGTATGTTTCCCTGCCAGAACCTCTAAGTATAATAATCAGCACAGATTAATTATTTTCTATATTTATTCCTTTACTAGTGGAAGTACCCGATGCCAGTTAAGTTAGATTGAGAGTAATGTATCTAACAACAGAGAGAACTGTACCGCTGTAATCCTTCTCTATTAACGATGTAAAAAATACGATTCATAGTCATATACATTTTTCAGTCTGATGCGATATGGAACCCACACAAAAAAATTCCAGAGAAAAATAAACTGATTCCCTCTCATTATCAGCAACATGGCACGCAGTTTTTTAACGATTTTCGTCTTTCTAATGAAATGGTCGCAAAAGCTGTAGTTCCATTCAATATTTCACCCATATTCAATTTTAGGCGATTAATTGTGGAAAACATTGATCCTAATTGGTCAGAAATCAATAATTTCTGCAAACAGACCAATACACAAACAGACATTCTTCTTTATATAAGAGTGTAGTTGCAATTAAAGTTCCACATTGAAATGGTCATAAAAGGAAAACGACTGACCAAATGTTATCAAACTTGGTAATCGTGTAAAGGGAATGGGAAATTATTTTCTGCGAAAAAAAAAGAAAAAGTTCAAAAACTCATCACCAGGGCTGAAATGGCGCTGTATGCAACGAAACGAAATAAGGGTCGGAAATATAATAATAATTGTTAAACGAAATAAGGGTCGGAGTCTAACTTAACCTTTTGTTACACGGGTTTAACATGT